GCATATCGACAAGGGTGAGATACTCGATTGGGTACGTGACGTCCTCAATATGTAAGTCCCAAGGACGATTGGGCTTCAGACGCTCATAATCATTGCTAGAACAGGAACAGCGTGTTACAAGCACCTGCAGTCTCAGCTTGTAAAGGATCAAGCTCGCAGCCAAGCAACCGCCATACCCATATGGCTTCCTGGAATCCTGGTTTAGTCGAAGATCATTCAAACGAGCAAGGTTCCCTTCTGATTACTGTAAACCGTTGCCCCAAAGTACTATGTATGTGTGTACAGTACATACAGTACACACACGTTGATGGTCCAGAGCTGCACAGTCAAAACGGTCGAGGTGATCGACAAGATCTACCCCGGGAGGGATTCTTCCCGGTAACAACGACCAGCATCCAGGCTATTATCAGATCGCATCTGGAATATAATCCTTGCGTAACATAACATTTTCCCCTTCGTGTCATAGTTCTCGGAAAACTATTTCGTCGCTTGTGGTATTCTTGCGAATGCAATTGCCCCCAGGACATCTTCGGCCGATCTCGCAGCATAGGGTACGTAGGTTTGCACAGCGACGGGATAACTTCGTATACCAGGATCCTGGTCTTTCCAGATCAATCATCCCCGCACTTAAGGGCTAATCAACTTCCAGACCACTTCGAGGGGGGCATAATGGTGCACATCTTATGTAGATCACCCGCCAGGAGAATGCCTGTAATAAACACACTGCACTTTAATAAAATAGCTTTCAATACCCGCTCTATGCTTGTGCACTATTCTCCCCTGAAGGCATTCAAACTGCGGTGCGCGAGTGGATGCCAAGAGATGAAGAAGCAAAGAACACGGCGTTATCTTTTAGAACATAGCAGCCGCTCCAAGCGGGTACAGGGACCTACAGGTCTACTTGCTGGCGAGTCGAGACCGTTCTCTTCGGCTTTGCCGTGAACGTCGTTCTGGCTCAACCCCACTCTGTACCTGAGAAGTGGATGTGCTGAGATGCTTGTGCAGTGAATGGTATTCCACTCATGCCAAGACTTGCTGGAGGCAGATATCGACTTGCAAAATCGAGCTTGTTGCTGTAAACGCTAATAACTTCTTGTAAATACTGTACATACACTTCAGCAGGCAAAAAGACGGTTCAAACAGACCCTGGTCCTTGTCTAGGGAGGAGAGGCACGGGGGAAGCGAACGTATGTCCTGCTGCGAAAATCGATGACTGATGTATCGTCAGAACACCAACTACTGTACTATGCCCAACCTGATGAACATAATACTCAGCCGGGTTCGTGTAACTCTTGCATTGGTTCATTTTCGTCGCGGGAAGCACAATGACGGCGTTGTTTTGCTGCGATACTACATTCCAGCACATTTTTTCTATACATGATTTCCGCTTCCAATGTCAAGAAGGTGAAGCACTGTGCGCTTCAACGCTCAATTATTGTCAGTCTCGGGTGGCATGGCCATGCCTATCCTTGAGTAAATCCATGAGAAATTGTTGTTTCCGGTGACCCGTCATATGGCAAGACTACCAGCCAGCCTGAATGTCGCTTATTCACGCCTCTGATTCGCATGCTCTCGCCGAAGGCCCCGTCGTAGACCAGGATTGACTTGCTAATAACGACTGCAGTCCTGTCGCGGCCAGGTACAGTTGGCCTTGATTGCGTGAGTCGTGGTAATGAAGAGGTTGTCAGCGCGGCAAAGTTGCATTATTGTAATCCGACCTCTCGAAAACGTTGACAAGTCCTGGCGTCACTCTCCTGCATGTGCGTAATTTGCGGCCGGGCCCGCCAAGGGCCAACCGCTTTCTCCCCTGCACCCTTTCACCGGTCGTGGCTTGAATTATCGCGCTGGATAAACCTTGTTGATTTCGCTAGCTGGTTTGCTCAACTTTTGGATATCAGAACTTCAAATTTGAATGAAGTTGTACTCAAATGGTTGTTGTGAAGTATCATTTGACCACGGCTTGAAAAATAGTACTTTGAGAGACAAACTTGTGACGATGAACGGGCTCTCGGTACACAAAACCCAGCTCTCGGAAATGCAGACAGCCGAGGAACCACCTTCCTGGGAGCCCGAGCTACGGATGTAGTGGTCAAGCCGCTTACACAACTTTGCACAAGCTGCTGTCTCGCTGTCGATCGTATCACGCCTCTTGAAGACACTAAGCTGTGATGCCCGATATAGACGGTAGGGTCACACGCGAGTGCTGTCAACGGCTAGTATGTTCGGCTGTAGCACCGTAGAGAGCTGTCACTTTTAATCCGAGCCTTGACAAGCATGGTGCAATGGGTGTCTGTTTTCAAAGAAGTAACATCGATGCCCTCGCTTATGCGACGAGTGTGCAGAATAACCAGCTGGTGGAGGTTACATCAAGGACGGAGTTCATACGTCCCCGCTATCCTCAGCGACGAAGAGTGAGAATGAAGATACATATCGAGACCTGGTTGAGACTGGTACATGGACTCCCTTGCACAGGAGTGGTATAGTTATCGCATACGCATCATGTACCTCTGCAGATTGTCCGTCATTTGTCGGTCAAATCAGGTCGGGATCTCTAGTGGTTCGGTTTTTGGAATGAGAAACCTTTTGGTTAGGCGGCTTGAACGCACAAGACACGGCTTGTTTGGTGTGAACAACCTCAAAGACTTGCAAGGCAGGCTAGCAAACAAGGCTGCAGGATCGAAAATCTCTCCACTGGGTTGGTTTTCTTCGTGACGGTCGATATTAGTGTGATAGGACGATGTGGTTGCACAACTAAAATGACCTTATTGTGCCGTCCGCCACAGCGGATGTAGCAAAAGGCAGTGCTGCCCAAATGATAGCAGATCCATCAATCACTGTGTACCGTCAAGAAAGACAAGAGCAACATGAAGCTGCGAATATGTGCGAGCCAGCTGGACCAATGTGAAGTAAGCTGTATCCTTGTATGTTGTGAGGGGAAAAAGCAAGTGGGAAAAGCAAGCTGCACTGCAGCAAGGTTCAGGTAGAAACCGATGAAGCAATCACGAGGTGAGGTGGTTGTGGTGAGGTGGCAAACCGGTGCTAGAAAGGGAAAGCATAATCTGTTTTGGGACAACCTCTTTCCTTGATAGACCTGAGTAAGTAGGTAGGCAGAAAGCGACGGAAGGTATCTCGGGGCAGGTACTGCACTGCACAGTACCTACCTCTGTAGCCGCAATGCCTCATAAGCATGCTTGCATTCAGCTCACTCTTGCCTGCATACAAGAACCTAGTCCAGGCCTGATCCCGACTGGGAATTGCCCAAGCGTCATTGGTCCAGACCCTACAGCTCGATGGCTACAGTGATACATCCCTCCCACAGCACACTGCAAGCGCTGCCCGGGCCTTCGCCTAACAGGGGTGTTAGTGCTCGGTCAAGACTTCCCCGCCAGCTTCTTGCCTCTACGAAATGCATGCCTAGCCAGTATAGCACCCTCAAGTCTGCACCATCGGGCCTGGGGCTTCTTGAATACCTGGGTACACCAAACTAAATTGACATCCAGTTGAGCTCATGCATGAGAAAGGCCTCAGCGGCCGCGAATTTGGAGAGAGCGACATCTTTGCTTGGGCTGGTCGAGACAAATCGAATCAAGTCTACTAGATATGCATCATAATGTCAACATCCAAAAGACAAGGTGACCTCTGCCCTGATCGGCGGGGTAAATCAATTCCTCATGGTGGTAAGATCACCTCTTCTCAACCTTCTGCATGATGGGTACGAGATAATGCATCTCGGAGACTTGATCACCACCCAACTCAATGTGGAAATGGACAACGGCGAAAGGGTAATATCAACGACAACGACAACAGGCCATCCGAACAAGGTCAAGACACGCAAGATTGTGCGCCGCCGCCCTGGGACCCGGCCTTACCAACTTGCGCCGACCCCTCGAGCTAGTACAAGATCTAGCGCGCTGCTTCGCATCTTCTTTGAGCGTAGGGTCAGGAGTCTCTTTCACGGTCAAGCATGGCGCGGGACCCACCCACGAGAACGGTGACTTCAAACTCGAGATGGGAGGAGTACCAAGCTCTCCGAGGGAGGCTTCGGAGGGATACAGAACTGTGGATCAAGAGTATGGACAGGGCGCCGCCACGACGGCAGCACAGGCCGGCGCGGAGCGCTCCCTCCTTTGCAACACCCTCAGGGACCCCCGGCGCACGCCTAAAACAAAACTCTCGCGTAGCCTTGTCGTTAGGAAAGGGTGGACAGGGGTTAGATGCAGGGATAAGGTCGGCGGACAAGCCCCCAGCTTGGGCCCGGGACCTGAACCCAGAGTTGTTCTAGGTACCTGGCCAGAGCGCAGCACCCAGACTTTCGTGTACCTAACCGCTGGTACCCAGAATGTGTCCGGAGCCGCTGCTGCTCTACCCATGACGAGGGACGTCTCGTTGCGCTGTGATCTCCTCCCCCGGCCATGTTGGGACCCAGGGGTCTGATTGCTTGTGCTCGACCCCAGCTCCCTCGGGTATGAACCCACACGCCATCTCGCAGGTTGTCTGTTATGACGGGGTTATAATGACTGCCGCTGTTTTCTAAGAGCCATCAGCTGTGTACAACACGGACAAGTCCTTCCCTTCTTTTACCCTCGTACGCCCCTCCAAATCTCCACCACTGCTTTCCCTTCCGACTAAGAACCTCCTTCGTCAACTTCATCCTTAAGAGGGCACTCTGACTGACTCTTTGTCTCACCATTGCGGAACCCTCCTCGCTTGCCTGGATTCTCCGACTTCTAGCAAGCCCTCTTCAAAAAGACCACTTGATCCCGCTATCCCATTCAACTTGAATCCCACGACATCTTCACTCTTTTTGTCTTTTATATTGCCTAGTACTAGCCTGACCCAGTCACTCTTTACTTGTACTCGACAGGACATTGATCTGCCATCCATTCATTCTTCCAAGCCCTAAGTTTGCAGGTCCGGGATTCGACTTACACGCGGTTCTGAATCTCCATTCCAATCATTACCACCACCTCACATTTTACATTCCTCAGAAGCGGCCCGTGATGGAGAATATGGGTTCATACCACCACCAACAGCAATGGTCAGGCTGGGGTTACCAAAGCCATGCCAGCCAGTACCCCAGATACTCTCAGCAGCTACCCAGTTATGCCGCTTATCTCCCTGAATCGATGGAGCTCTACAATGCTCACCAGGGCCATCTCCTGCACCATCACCAAATGTCTAGAACAACTGAGACAAAACCCCGACTCTCTAAAGAAGAGGTCGAGGTGCTTGAGGCTGAGTTTCAAAAGAACCACAAACCCAACAGCACGATAAAGAAGGCGTTGGCTGAGTCGATGAGAGTTGACAATGCTCGTATCAATGTCGGTTATGTCCTGTCGTAAAGCAATCTTTCATATAACTAACAGCACAACAGAACTGGTTCCAAAACCGACGAGCACGGGAGAAGAAGGAGAAAAACATCCGCGAATACGCGGCCAAGCAAAGATTGGACAAGGACACGACTGCCAACGATACCGGAATCCACTCAGACGATGATCGCCTCTCTGATCGTGTTGTTTCCAGCGCTCCCTTTCCGGCCCCGCGCATGGTTGGATCCCGAACAACAAGCATATCGAGCTTAGAGCACGAAAGCGAGAATGATATCAGCCAGTCTGACTTTGGGGCTGTGTCTTCTCCAGATCTGTCTTCCCAACCAACGCCTGAGCCATTGTCTGCATCGACCACTACCTCTCTGGCTTGCTACGGTCAGTATCCTCAATTGGTTGTGCCGAACGAAGAGGACGAGCCTACTCCTTCTCTCCCCCAGCAGTGCTTCCCCCGACTGTCAACATCGCCTCTCCAAGAGCAATATGTGTACCCACGAAACAGTCTCATGGTCAGACAGTCCAACCAGCCCTCGATGCTAAAGCCTTCTCCCTCAATGGATATTGCTTCTCGCCGAAACAAGCGCGCTCCCCAGATTGCCATCAACGCCTCTCGCAGTTTCTCAGCAACTGGACCTAGAACTGGAATTGACATGGGAAGAAGGGCAGACGTTGGTCATTCCATGCGACGTGTTGCTTCCGCAACTGGAGTTGGACGCATTAGCAAGCCCATCAGTGGTCCTCGAAGCCCCTATTTCGAAAGAAACCCCGAGGTGCTGTTGCAGCTCAACCGTTCCCCCAACTTCCAGAAGGCGACTACTATTGCACCACCCACTCCCAACACTCCTGTTGTTGCGAACCAGCCAGGACTATGCGAAGCTACGCCAGCCAGCACAGTGACATACGACGAGAAATATTCTATGGATCTGGCAATTCATGACCCAACTCTACGAACCCCTCCTACCACTCCCGGGGTCATGGATCAGTTGTACAACAACGATTCTAGCTACCAAGTTGCCGTCACTGATGAGCCTTTGGTGACACCAGGGCTGACTGCGTTCCCCAACGACTTCGGAGTACCTGGCGCACCAAGCCAGGTACCCAGCTATCTATCGCATGGATGCGCTAGCCAGCCTCAAACCCCATCATATGCTGCCCCAGTGGGTCCTACCTATTTTGGCTTCGCTGGAGGCAATGCTGAGTACAACTGGTCCGATGACGCCTCGCTGTCAGCACACTCATCTCCTGGACAGAACCAGCAGAATGTCAACTTTATGAACATGACCCCCTCGAGCTTCACCTACTCCGACAGGTAATTTCTCTTTCACACAAATCAACCACATTGCTTTTCAGCACCAGCATTCAACCCTGTACATAAATAGCGACATTCTGCTTTCTTTTTCTCCTTCAAGGACATTGTACAGTATAGACACGATGCCTTTCTGCCAGCAGAAAATGGCAAAAAGCCAGTTATGGCAATCAATTATTGTTTCTCGTTTGTTCCTCGTCTCACAAAACACTTTACGAATGAATCAACGGCATCATACCCTAATGTAATGGGAATACGGCACTGGGTGGCGCTCAGGGAAGCACATAGGGAGCGGGAGTTGTTTGTGATGGAACATTAACTACACCAACTTGGCGCAGAATCTTGACAGCAGTGGAATGCGATACTGCATGGGCGCTGGCTGTCTCATGGAGCCGCAACAGAGCATGAGGACAGCCGATTGGAAGAGCCAGATAAAATTCAAAAGAATACAACCAAATCTATAACTTGCATCACTATTATAAAAACAGTCTTGGGTACCATGCCGCAGAAAGTATATGCATCGCCATCCACGTAACTTTTTGTCACCATGTAGAGAGAAGTTCAGTCTTGAGACCTCTTGACGACTGGGTGATGTTTAGGCCTAAAGCTAACAACATCAAGGTGGTGTCCCGCATTCCTTTCTTGTCAACTGGCCTGTTCCAAAGCAGGAACGGTTTGTGTCTCACGAAGGGAGACGCCATCAGCAAACCTTATTCCTAGGTTAAATCGTGATGTCGGTACGTGGTGCACAAGCCTCGTCCCGAGAATTGGGTCATCCTCCGTCCCGGGCTCCCGGAGTTTCGGGGCTCCACAACTGCGAGTAGGTACTAACCAACCAAATCCCAACGTTGATCTCCAAGTAATGAGAAGGCCTTGGGCTTGGCCGTCGCATTGCCCCGCTTTGCACGTCCCAGGATCTGTTCCGACGCAATGGATACAGACGGGAGATCGACACTGCAAATGCTGGGGGGACAATTCCAACGTTACAGTAAAGATTACTGTATATACTGTACGTATCTTACAGTACGCGACAGATCCATCGGGTAACCAATCGAACAACCGATGTTGGGTTAAGTTCTCAAGTCGGTGTTGGTGGAAGCGGTTGTGTCATGTTGACAGCAGACGTCTGGCTAACCTTTACGACAGTTTCCTATTTTGGGTTTTTCTCAAAGTGATTAAGCCATATCTGACACTTTGAGAGAATTTAGTCAGCGTCACTTAGGAAAGACAAACGGCACATTAACTGGGGTTAGCCATTAAACGGCCATCAGACTAAGACAATTCAGACCAGAGGCTTGACGGTTTTCAAAAGCCAAAAACTCTGTTCCAGTTGCAAACTAACGTCAGGGCCAACGACTTAAGGAATGCTGACCTCTCTGTTCCTTGCAGTAATGTGTGGGGTGTGGGGTGATCAACTAGTAGCAGAAGACTTCGGATTCGGAGGCTGTGGCTATAAAGTGCCATCTCTACACCCAATGAATACAGCACCTCCGCAAAGTAGTTGGCAGAAGACAAACCAGACGAGAAAATTGTGTGAACTCTGAAGATTTCTGTGTGTCCATCGAGTCAGAGCTCTCAAGACCACAACCTGTCGATGACAAAAATTGGAAGAGTATCCCAGTAAACGCCTCGATGGCAATTGTCCCGCAACTTCGGTACAGCATCTCATCACCAGATGCCGAGCCTCTTTTTTATTTTATTTTTATTTTTATAATATTCTGTTAGTGATGGTAATGGTAATGACACATGAGGTAGGTGCAGGATGGGAAGGAACTCGTTAAGCTTAATCTTATTGCGCATGGGATTACGGCCCGCAGACCCACTTGTCGCAAAAAGGTCAACACCTCGCAAAATGGATATCATCAACAATGGGAAAATGGAAAATGAAGAGATGGGACATCTAATGCAAAAATTAGATTACCCAGAATCCTCAGATTAGAAGTCTGATTCCTTAGCCATTAGGCCACAAGGTTCTAACGTATCAATCTGTAACTCGGGTCTGAAAGTTTGGTACATATACCTGAATTTGGTTTCCTGATTACAATCCCATCATTGCCACCGCTGCACTTAGCATCCCCAGCTCTTGAGATCGCTCAGTGATCCCAGTCACCTGGTCTGTCGCCAGTCAATAGTCAAGCCACGTGTACTCCGTGCTGTTGGAATACTGCTCACTTAATGAATGTGGTTGATTGAACTGGGATGTGTTTTGTTGACGAGATCAATTCCGTCTGGTGTTACCAAGCTGTGGAAATAGGTCACGTGTCGCGGGACGGGACGAGACCCACCGTCCGAGAATATGGAGCATCACGTGGAATGTCCAGCACCTTGGAAAATTGATATCAAAAACACCAAAACCGCAACGACACGATCAAATTAGGACACAACACATTAAAAAAAGAGAATGGATGGTAATTCATACTTGATTACGTAACCCCTGGCGAGACTCGCTAGACTTGGTTAGTTTTGAACTGAGAGATCAAGAGGATTACGTACAACTCGCAATCTTCTGATTAGAAGTCAGACGCGTTAGCCATTACGCCACAGGGGCTGTTGTTGGTTGAGATACATGTGTCCAATTGTGATAAATATATGCTAAGTGTAGGACTGTGGAGCTTTGAGTTCTCGATGCTTAGCCGTTGGCCGTGTCTCCTTGGGACTCCAGTTACCCACATGCTGTCTGAGACAGCCCACACTAGTTCAAGTTTACACCAAATCTATCTAGAGTCATAACACACTACGGAATCTCCAAGTATGGATACAGTTTGAGAAGACAAAGAAATGTTTAGTTGCACACAACTGAGATTTCGAGAAGAGAGTTTAGAGACAAAACCCGATACCGATCTGTTCCCCTAGAATGTGGCCCCTTTGCATGATCTTCAAGGCTGGAAAACTCGATGGTCCCGGCCCCAGGATGTCAGAAGAATTGATCGTCATAAGCATAAGAGACGAAATAGTTTGGTTATCTTATGGCAATTTGGATGAGCAACTGGGTTACTTTATTCTGGTAGCCTAAGCCTTAGAGGACATTTCTTCTGTTACCCACCTGCCCGGGTAGGTGGTTGTTGCAAGTCAACTACGTGTTCATCGTCATAGAGTAGCGAGTGAGTGACTAATGCAACATATACGCCTGACTTGTTGAGATTTGACTTCCCTGGAAGAGGTTGCTATTGATTACAATATTGAGGAAGGATTTATGACATTGGGCTTGTAGTTCAGAGAGAAGACCAAAGTACACCTGACTTCCATCATTGAGATTTGACTTCACTGGAAGAGGTCGCGATTGGTTACAACATCCACTGAAGAAAGATTTACCCTGCCCAGCTTGCAGTTGAAGAAGAAATAGTGCATGACAGCGGTGCAGTAGAGCTCTATGCACTAACTTTGTTAACGTTGAATCCAACATCAAATGGATCTTTGAGCGTCTCGTTCAACAATACAAGTAAATATGATATCAGACAAAATTCCATGGTAGAGAATGTCGCGCTTGTTAGGATTAGCCATCTCCCGATTCAAATACGTAGTTAGCATTTATTGTCTCAATTGCCCTTGCAAGGGAAGCCAACTGTAATTGAAAACGCGGCGCAGGTGCATTCGAGCCGTCGCGAGCGGTCCTACCGAATACGTCAGTGGTCATAATGGGGAAACTACTGCTAACTGCTAACTGCTACCGCGCACGCGCCAGCCCGTTACCAGTCACGTAAAACCACTTTAACAGTTCGAGCACCATTCCATAATAACAACACCTTTTTTGCAACCTTACAGCTATACCTCAGTCTCTTTTTTTATTACTCGTCCTTTAATATCACCAAATGGCTCCCGTCGTATGATAATTCTACCGTTCCTATGTCCTCTACCGCCATTGCTGGTAGCGACGCGTCGCGTCCAGCGCGGTCGAGGATTTTAACACCCAGCTCGGAGGGGAGCACAAATCACAAAGATGAGCTGCGTTCACCCGAAAGACACCAGAGGAAGAGAGCCGACTCGGCTACTATGGAGCACCTCTTGAAGCCTTCAATTGCTGTCAAGGTTGGTTATTGTCAATTAACATCTTTTGTGTACCCCAACTTATCTGTGATTCTCCAGCCGCACCCGCCAAAGCTTCATGTCCAGCCTCGTATTCTCTATCCATTGATGGTCCTCCCTCGCGAACGCCTCCCACTCTCCTGTATCGATTTTCACGCTACGAGTGTCGACCTCGCCTCGCTTCGCCTGTTTGAATCCCATATCAAGATTCTCGACTTGGAGAGCCGTATGGGCTCCGTCCCTGTCGTCCTTATTGCCCGGAAAGAAGCAAGTCGCGCCGTTTATGTCCTCGAGAAGCAAGAAAGTGGTCTTTATGCTATATGTAGGCTAGGACCATGGGTAGACCTTGATCTTCTAGCAAGCCATTCATCTGCCGTCTGCCGAGAGCGACTACATCGAGTTGTCAAAAGCGAACGTCAAAACCCCAACGGCCCATCCGCCATCACCACGCCTCACATACACAAAGAAGAGAAGAGCAAGCGCGCCGCTATAGAAGCTATACAGTCTCTGGTTCGAAAACGACCAAGATCGCAGTCCGTTTCGACGTTGGCCGAATCCGTAAAACAAGAGACAGGCGAAGCTGCCACGCCTACAGACTCAAAGCTACCATCTCCGACATTGCAATCGGCCAAGCCAAGGAGGCTTAGCGAACATGCAGTGCAGCCCTTGCCTTGGACAACCCCAACTGCTGTTGACATCGAAGTGCATCAGCAGCAGACCAAGGAAGACATATTTGATACACTAAGAACGCAGTACTTCGATGTGTTATACAAATCAATGGTGAGCATCAATAATTTTGCCTTGTCTGCAGTTGCTAAACAACACAGGGATCTCTCGCATACTTTGCCAAAGGGCCGCTTTCGCGCGCTCGTTCAGCATTTCAGCTTAATCTCGAATCTGATCTCGACCTGGACGATCTTATCGAATTTCTCAAAAGTCTTGTCCTGACCACTGTGCAGATCGACAAGAAGTATCGTGAAACTGTTCCCGCACTCATTTCTCAGATGAAGACAATTGTAGACAGCTCTGACGAGAGTCGAAAAAGAAAACGACGGGCCAAGAGAATGAAAGTTGGCAAGGACGGTCTCTATCCGCACGAAGAAGCTCGTATCAGAAAGTGGTGGGCTGCCAACAAGCCCGAACTTAAGGAAGATGAAACGAACGTGCCTGTCCCGCAAATGAAGTCTCTGGCTTCCATGCTTCGCACAAGAGAAACTCAGCTACAGATGATCGTTATACTGGAGATCCTTGCTTTGACTCCTCTAAAGCCCGCAGATGATGCCGAGGACAGCCAGCTTCCTCTTTTGCCTGGTGCTACTGAGTCTCAAGGTGACGTGGCGCCTCTCTCTATCAAAAAACGAAGCAAACACAATCTCCCGGTGCTCCTGGATGTCCACGCTGATCGTTTGACCATCTGGCAATCCACTGCATCTGATGAACAGCTACTGTTGGAAGACTCACAGATCTCGCAAGCCCTCGATGGCCAGTCCCAACAGAAGTCATCCTCAGAACCTCTCAAGGACTTTTGTGTGGACATCATTGTACCATTGTAAGTGCCGAGCAGTCATCATCACCAGTTGTACCATGACTAATTAATTTGGACAGTTTCTCTCAAAGGCTACCGGAACTTTGTGACTCAATCAATCGCAAGCTAGGGGGTCCCATCATTCTGAAGTCTTCAAGGCCAGCAGCTCTAAGACGATCATCCAGCAAACGGTCTCCAAAGCCAGGTGCGGTGGCAAAACGCTCCGTATCGGGACAGCCCACAAGGACGTTGCAGAGAGCTCTTTCAACAGATCAACAATCCCGGCGAAGTGTTTCCAGGGGCCCTAGCAATATGATTGCGCTGATGCGATCCGCAACTACGACTTCCTTGCCAGGTATCAAGCGGGAAGCAAGTGATTCTGCCTTGGCTAAGTCAGTACTTGGCAATGAGCCCGACTTGATGAATAGGAAGAGTGGTCCGTTGTCACGAAGTAGTAGCGTATCTAATTTGCAAGATGTCAAGTATAGCAAGAAGGCTCAAGTCGATGCACAGTTGAAGGATGCCATTTCTTCCCTGAGAAAGCCAAATCGCGAGGTGGTTGGCAAAGCGCTAGCTGAAGCAGCGGAACGCCGTGCAACTGTGAGCTCTTCAGCAAAGAGTAGGTACCCAAGCGCAAGTTTGCGAGCTTCTTTTTCTTTTACTAACCTCCTATTAGAAGTGAGAAGATTGGGCAGGGCTTCCATGGGTGCGCCGATCGTCAAGGCGACACCAGCAAACGCACGATTCAAGGATGTATTTGCTTCAAAGCCCGACATAATGGACACGCCATTGATGAGCACTGAGGACGTCATTCCTCCCTCGAGCCTTCCGTCAATGGTACCATCTACGGGTCTTCGCACAGGAGGTCAACGAAATGATTCTCGTGAGAGTCGAACTCCTGATTTCGAGAGGATCGGCAGCACGCCAACAAAGGCTGCGTCAAGTTTTATCCGGCGCCCGGCGAATGATCCAGACGTTTTGCCATTTCCACCTTCTTCACCATCCCTAAAGCGAAGGACGGTGACTGCTGCGGATCTGTTCAATCCTGTCGGTATCACAGATCGAAAAAGAAAGGTTAGTTTTGAGTCATGTCGCAACGAGATCTTGGCCACACCAGTGAAGGCTATCAAGACAAAGAGCGTAGAAGACCTGGAAAACATGATAGTTGAGCCCGCGCCTTCTAAGCCGGTATCAATCTATCAAAAGTTGGGTTGGGATGGCGACGATATAGATGAACTGTTATGATTTGCTTATCGGAGCATTTACAGCGGTGTTTTACAAGGGAAATGCATTACAAGCATGAGGAGTTATAGCATTCTAAGAAGGCGTTGAGAATATTACAAGACTGTATCAACGACGGTATTCTAGTTACGACATGGTACAAATAAATAATACGACAGCTGAATATGAAAACATTGGGCTCATTTCGCATCATCTCAAGCCGCTGCCCCTTCTACCAACATAGTAGGTAAATCTCTAATGTCGACATGTTCTTGTGATCCCAGGTCTACGACACGCATCGCCTCCAAGCCTACAACGCCTTGTTGTAGCGCCAAGAACTGAAGTTCAACTACATGGCAAGCTCCTGGTGGAAGAGGCCCAACACGGGTATCAGCGCTCAGGCACACAACATCTGTAGACTCGACAGAGGAGTTCTTCTGCAATGCATGAAGGACATTTTCATCCGTGACTGCATCGGCGACATCTTTTTCTCCATGTTTTCGACCACTCGCCGAGGGCGGTCGTGTCATGCGGACTTCGCCTCGTCGTCTCTTCGGGATTGCTACAAGAGCCAGTTTGCGTGGAGGCACAGGGTTTTTGTCTGTAGCACGATTGACGATATAGACAGTCCAGGAAAAGATTTGCCCTGGATGGACAGGCTCAGAGGGGCCAGTGAATGTCATGGTGATGCCAAGTTCTGTGACAGTGGCCTCGGTGTTGGATGTTGCAGCCTCAAGGGCAGGAAGAGCATCTGGGCGCATGATGGATGGCGATATTAGAGGGTAAGCCGCTTGTCCAGTAATAGAGAGCTGAGAAGGACGATGGGAGCGGACGATACCAGTTCCTGCAGTTGCTGAGCCATAGCCGGGATTAACTGGGAGGGTAAAGTCAAGTTGAGTTGTCCATGACATGGCCATGCTAGGCGTGCAGCGGCCAGGTATAACTTGGGCAGTGGCGGATATTGTTATATCGAGTTCTCGCATGGGGTTTTTGACAGTAACGTCATGCTGGCGAGGAGCGATGCGGTAGAGAAATGTTATATGGTCGTGAGACACACAGGTAAGGGGAAGTTGCATGCCTGCATCGTCGTTAAGATTCTCGACAGTGGCGTCAAGAATAGATAGATCGATCTTGTCTAGTGAGATCCCACACTCAAAATGAGAGGTGAAGTCGACTTCGAGTAGCGCAATAACAGCCGAACTCGTTGGGGCCGTAGTCGGCCGTGAGAAGCGAATTCTTGTGTGGATGACAGGAAAGATACTGTGCTCAACTTGATGCAGAGCTCTTATGTGCTTTGTTACGTCCTGTGAACGCGTCACAGGAGTGACTCTTGATACTCGAAGCGCTGACAATCGAGGCTTGACTCCACCGAGTGCAGCATCGCTACCAAAAGACTCAAGAAGGTTAAACCCCGAAGGCACTCCACTCTGAAGATAACCGCTTCCTTTCCCTATGATATCCGTTGATATTTCAGGCTTCAAGCTTGCAGATGCAGTAAAAATGATACCCGGCGTAGAAATCCGTGTTCGCGGTCGACTAAGAAAGACAGGCAACTTCCAAACAGCAAAGACATTCTGGTCATCGTTATCATCTCCGCTTTCTTCGTCGCTATCATCCTTTTCTTCTCCTTCTCCGTCGACGATTATGAATGGATCATCAATATCTGGGACTGTGCCCGAGAAGATGGTCTCTGTACTGGAATTCTCCTTGCCATGGGCTTTCTGGTTGACGATCTGGGCCTCAACAGATATTACCAGCCGGCTGATATGAGTGCGAAGGGTTGATTCATCTTTCCAGGGACTTTTTAGGAGTAAAAGGACAGTTACTGTCTCATCTGATACGTGTTAATAACTGACAAAGTGCGCGAGATGGAGAGGGACTCACCAAAGAACAATGCGTCTCGGCGCTTGATTGACTCAAGTATAGACTTTCCAGGCTCAACATTCTTAAAAGCTGATTCCAAGTCCAGATTTGTATCTTCTGGTATAAGATAAGATAAGTGAGACTGCTCTGCGAATTCGGTTGTAGGGTCCTTAATAAAGAGACTCCTCTTGAGCTGAGTGAGAGATTCGGGCTCATGCTCATTGGACTCTGAAGGGAGGGACTCCCTGTCTGGAGTCGTTCCAGAGTCCGACATAGTAGCAGACTACCTTAATATTGAGGATGTTTTTCTTTCGGGACACGCGACTGGGAAGTGCTCAGATACTCAAATCATGGGTTTTCGAACGCCTTGCCACTTTTTTATTTGTTGATTACATTACCCGTGTAAGTCGGAATGCAACTCATGCCCCTTAGCGACGTAAAGCCAGTTGCCAATAAGATGCCTTAGTCATCACGACACCATTGGAAACATGCTGTCGCGAAAGCCAACTGGTCCGTGCGTCAAAAAGCTGGTGGCGCCGAAATCGACTGAACCTCCGCGTCGCTTCAGTTTTAATTGATACTTTCTTCAAGTTATCATCAGCCTTCTACCCGCACCTGAGTTCTTGATACGGGGCTTCAGCTGTAGGACTGTGTCGCGCATCTCGGACATTTGTATCGCAAGACTTTTCTACGATGAACGGCTTCGGTTCTCCTTATGGCCAGCCGGCTCCGGTTTGGCAGGAGCACCATACACCTGATGGACGAGCCTATTACTACAATGCGACGACGAAGGTGACGCAATGGACGAAGCCAGAGGATATGATGAGTCCGGCCGAGGTTAGTACTGATCTTTCTAAGAATGTATTGCTGGAAATGAGTTATTGACATAAAGCAGCGCGCTCTCGCGAACCAGCCATGGAAGGAGTACACTGCAGAGGGAGGACGGAAATATTGGTATAACACTGAGACAAAACAGAGCTCCTGGGAGATGCCTGATGTTTACAAAACAGCCCTCGGCGCAACAAGCAAGCCTGCCACTCCGGCTGCTGCGACTCCTTTCACGCCTCCTGCTAGCGGCGGAGGTTACTCCCAGACACCCTACGATCAGCATCGTGATCAGCGTGACACATATCCTGAATCTCGTCAAATCACATACGGAAACGATCCCAAAGTCCAGGCTTTTGTACCCGCCACAAACGATCCTGAATACGCGACCGCCGAAGAGGCCGAAGCCGCCTTTGCTAAGCTCCTTCGACGAAGTGGAGTTCAACCGGACTGGACTTGGGAACAGACAATTAGAGCCACTGCGCGGGATCCTCAGTTCCGTGCCATCAAGGATCCCAAGGACCGCAAGGCCGCTTTCGATAAGTATTGCCAGGACGTGGTGATCCAGGATAAGGAGCGAGCTAAAGAGAGGCTGGCCAAACTCCGTGCTGACTTTGAGACTATGCTCAAAAGGCATCCCGAGATCACTCATTATACCCGCTGGAAGACTGCGCGTCCCATCATAGAAGGCGAAACCATCTTCCGCTCTACTAACAACGAGGAGGAGCGCCGTCAGCTTTTCGCAGAGTATATCATCGGCCTGAAGAAGGCACACGCTGAGCAGCAGACAACTCTCAGGAAGAACGCCATGGATGGACTTATTGACCTGCTTCCCAAGCTCAACCTAGAGCCTTACACTCGATGGGCTGATGCTCAAGGTATCATTTCATCTACCCCGCCTTTCCAAAATGACGAAAAGTACCAGGCTCTTACCAAGTTTGACATCTTGACTGCTTTCCAAAACCACATGAAGGCTCTGGAGCGCAGGTTCAACGACACGAAGCAAGAGGAGAAGAACAAGAAGTTTCGTAAGGAGCGGAAGGCACGCGATGCTTTCAAATCACTTCTCAGCGAACTTCGCCGCAACGGTAAAATCAATGCTGGAACAAAATGGAGCCAGATCGTTCCCTTGATCGAGAACGATGCCCGCTACACCGACGCCGTCGGCCAGAGTGGTTCGACCCCTCAAGAAATGTTCTGGGACGTTATTGAGGAGGAGGAACGTGGTCTGCGTGGACCTAGAAACGATGTTCTTGATGTTCTCGAAGTGAGATTGACCCACAACCATTTACATACATTCAATACTAACGATTAGACAGGACAAGCGGTTTGATCTCACACCTACTAGCAATTTTGAAGAGTTTCTCTCCATCATGAAGGATGACCGACGGACTGCTAACATTGAACCGGATATTCTCAAACTTGTTTTTGACCGAGTAAGTTGCCATGACTGTTTTTTCCAACCGGTCTCTATGCTAACTATACTGCCAGCTTCGCGAGAAACGCTCGTCCAGGCGAGACGACGATCGACAGTCTGAACGTCAACAACGAAGGGCCGTCGATGATTTGCGCGCGTATATGAAGCGTATGGAGCCTCCTATTGCCCTCAGTGATACGTATGACAAGGTACGACCTCGACTCTTGAAATCAGATGAGTTCCAGGCCATCGCATCTGAAGATGCTCGACGAAATGCGTTCGACAAGCACATCCGCCGTCTGCGAGAGAAGGACGATGAAGCGGACCGAAGCTACAGACGACGTGATCGTATGTCTAGCGAAAGAGACTTGCATCGCCGTGAGCGCGACCGATCCAGAGGTGAGCGATCTCATCGTAGTGGTGGACGTGGTTCTCGACGAAGTCGCAGTCCGGAGCCAGATGCCTACGAAGCGGACCGACGCAAGGCTATCGCCGAGCGAGAGCGAAACCACCGAAAGTCCACAATGGCCGAAGGGCTTTTGGGGTCAGACCGGAGTCGGCTTTCGTCTCCGCCTCGCCGTGAGCGAGAACGAGATCGTGACCGGGAGCGCGAGCGCGAGCGTGATCGTGATAGGGAACGCGACCGAGACTACGATCGACCCTCCCGATCGCGTCGTGATGACGACAGCTACTATGAACGCGAACGAAGGGACCGGGAAGATGAGCGGGAGAGGTCCTATCGCCGCCGCATTGATCGCGGATCACACGAGGAACTCAACTATGGAGACGAGCGACCCTCCGGTTCCCGACGCCGTCGACCCGATGACGAAGACGAAAATGCTCCCCGTGATTCACGCGATGCCAAGGTACGGAAAATTGCCCAAAGGTTCTGATATTTCAACGCGACTAACGAAATGATATAGAGGGTTAAGAGAGAGCGATCTCGAGAGCGAACGCCACCTCGTGCTGAAGAACGTCCTCGTAAGAAAACCCCACCTCCTGCAACTAAGGATGTTCATTCGGGAAGCGAGGAGGGTGAGATTGAGGAGGATTAGAGTATCTTCAGTTGATTGCACTCTTTCTAGCCTTGACTGAACAAGCAGCTGCACCCTTTCTCAGTACGTACCGGCATTGTCAACCCCTGGCAACGTCTGTCCGACGAGATGACTCGGGAGTATAGGCTTGCGGCTATCGGTCGCCATGACCGCCCAGTGCCGCAGCGGTGGAAACAGATGGCGACCGCCCTGCTACATATGCAGTTTTTTGGCCAGTATGTGTGATTTTCCCTTTCTCATTCTAGGTAGGCTAGGTCTGGTATTCGCGAATTGTACGAGGGACGGTATTGCTGGGGTTCGTCCTAGAGGGCGCACAGATAATTTAGGTAGAAATAAAGCAGCAAACTTTAATATTAAGACGCATTTTCTGAGCGATCCAGTTTGTCATGAACTATTCTAAACTAACTGACAGTCGTGATCATCATGAAAATTGTTTCCCGCGAGGTAGGAAACGTTAGACGGCGGAGATCCTGCTAGATCCGTTGTCCCTCAATCTATGAAGCCATCCATGTTCGTTCTGCGATGATCTAGAGTCAGACCCTAAAAAACATCAGAGTGAACTGGAATAACCTAAACATAACCAGACAAGCAACGCAATGGCTTCGTAGGACCAGACAACAGGGGATACTCTGCCGTCACCGTCGTTATTCGTCTGGATCGTCATCCTCGCCGGCGCTGCGGTCATCATCTATTCCCAAGGCCCACTGATTTCGCCGATTTTCATTTTGAACGCCACAAACGCCGCAAGATGCGCCATCAAGAGGAGGGAGAGTCTTGTTGTAGACGCCTTTAGCTCTGGTCGGGGTTCTCCTCGAGGAAGAACTATAAAAACATATTAGTTGGTGGTCACATAAATATAAATCAGCAAATAGACTTACGTAGTTGCCGCTCATCTTCTGTTCTTGATCAAGCTGAGAGCCGTTCTTGTTGATACGGGGGCGGTAGTTGGTAGGGTCACGACGGAAAGTGACGTTAAGGTTCTTCAAGAAGGTGTTGCAGCCAGTAAGCAGGGACTCAGGCTTGTTGGCGTGAGCATCGATACCGGGCTGTCCGTCGAAGACAATGACTCGGTCGGCGAGATAGGTGGCCATGATGAAATCGTGCTCGACAATGAATGCAGTCTTCTTGGAGTGCATGATGAATCGCTTGATGACTCGCGAAGCGATGATACGCTGCTCAGAATCGAGGTAGGCAGAAGGCTCGTCGATCAGGTAGATATCAGCGGGGATACCGAGAGCAAGGACGATAGCAACACGTTGCAATTCACCACCGGACAGGTTCTTGACTTCCTGGTCAATGAAGTCATCAAGCTTGAGGGGCTTAACAACGTCTGTCTGGAACTGAGGAGACAAGAAAGACTGCTTGATCTTCTTGAAGAACAACTGGCGAACAGTGCCATCGAACTTGGGGGTAATGGTCTGAGGCTTCATGCTGATTCGCATTTCAGGTACACTCTTCTTGCTGTCAGGCTTGAGAGCTCCAGCCAAAAGTCGACAGAAAGTGGTCTTTCCAGTACCATTCTCACCCATCATGACGATGATTTCGGAATCGGTGAAGTCACCGGCTTCAATGTTGAGCTTGAAGCCGCCCAAAGTCTTCTCCATCTTGGGGTACGTGAAAGCACGGGACTTGTCGATCGCGAAATCGTCAGTGGTCTCGGCAATTCTGAAAGTCAAGGACTCATCACGGAATCGCAAGTTCTCGGTAGGGATGTGTCCGTCAAGGAAAATGTTGATACCCTCACGGACGGAGTAGGGAAGTGTGACAACACCATAAACAGCAGGCTTGCCGTAGAGAACACAAATGTAGTCGGAAAGGTAATCGAGGACTGACAGATCGTGCTCGACAACGATGATGTAGTCGTTATCGCGGAGGAGAGATCGGATGACCAAAGCAGCACTCAGACGCTGCTTGACATCGAGATACGAGGAAGGCTCGTCGAACATGTAAACATCGGCTTTCTGGACAGCAACAGTTCCGATAGCAAAACGCTGGAGTTCACCACCAGAGAGGAGGTTAACATCACGGTCCATGATGTGGTTCAGCTCGAGGACATTGGCCATCTCTTCCATGTTACCGAGCGAGGCTCGGCTCTCGATGAGGAATCGGACACTCTTGTTGGGGCCTTTAACAGCCCTGGGGATCTGGTCCACATACTGAGGCTTGACCACGGCCTTGAGGTCGTCCTCCAGAAGCTTGGTGAAATAGTCTGTTTGACACTTAGCATGCGTGCACCCTGTCTTCAATCTCGCGTCGGGCAATACGTACTCTGAAGTTCGGAACCACGGAAGTGCTTGATAACATCCTCCCAATCAGGAGGGTTATCGTGTCGGCCCAGGTTGGGCTTGAGCTTTCCACTCAGAATCTTGAGGGCAGTACTCTTTCCGATACCGTTGGTACCGACAAGTCCAAGCACCTGACCGGGTCGGGGCATAGGAAGACGGTGCAGCTTGAAGCTGTTGGGGCCATATCGGTGGGTGACCTGGCTCTCAAGGTTGGTGGGCAAGTTGATGATATTGATCGCATCGAAGGGGCAGCGCTTAGGGCAGATACCACAACCGATACAGAGCTGCTCGGAGATGAAGGCCAACTTGGAATCGGGCTGGACCTCGATACAGAGCTTTCCGCTACGGACGACGGGGCACGACTTCTTGCACTCTTGACGACATTTTCGCGGACGACACTAAAAGGAGGGGTTAGAAAATGTTTGGCAGACGGCGGGGCACAACTTGATGCTGATGGTGACGATCACACACCTTGTCGCTGTTGACGATGGCAATACTAGTGAGAAACCGTTAGTATATGTTTCTCTTATCTGTCTCTCTATTGTTTCCTCGGATCGCATAGACATACCGCGTGAGTTTGTCGGACATTTTCGCGATTGTACGGCAAGCGCTGCTTCAGTGACGATTTTTGGTGGGGGTAAATTTGTGTGGGAAGAATGACAAAGGCAAAGGACCTAGAACAAAAGTCGACGACCGAGTATCTCACGCGCGCAAGATACGATAACACGCGCGCTCTCGTCGAAGCTCTTTTTGAGGAGAGGAACGAAACACGGTGAGAAGAAAACGAGGGGAAGAAACCAAGGTAAAAAGAAGTTCCAAGGTTAGACGGCCCAGGTTGTTTGGATTGTGTGGATGGTAATCCAATTTTCAGGCCCTGTCATTAGTAGGTTTGGCGGGGCTGTGGATCGCTGAACTTGGAGGCACTATAGGTGCCTGTTATGTACGTGCCCGTTGGGTCTTTTGCATGACGTTACTGATGCGTTCGTTACCTTAGAGCCTACGAACATCTACACTGTTCGTCACCCTACGAGTTCAGGCTGACAAGATATCCATACATTGTTGACCAGAACCTGTGGTTGCTATCGTTCAACTTTAGGTGCCCACTCACTACTGCTATCAGTGGAGGATGGTCCATTAGTACTAACTTATCAAGTAAAGCTGATCTGTCGATTCAACGGCTACACAGCCCATGTGGAGGAGTCATAACGATTGCTGTGAGGGTTTATCGTTGATCAAGTCATGGGTCACAGTGGCTTGGTGTCTTGGATAAAGGGTGTTTTTAATCTTCTGTACCCTTGGTCGATATACAGGGACATATTGACACAAGGTAGGTCGCATCCATATAAAAAAAAAGGCACTGAAGGGTCGGGTGGAATTTGGAGGCTCATCCATTAGCTCTACCACCCATTGTGGTACAATACAGTATCAAGTTTAGATCTGGGCTGGGAATATAAGCCCAAGGTTATGCAGATCGTCTAAATATTAATTGACTTTTACAGTATTATTGCGTTTCATCACGTGATTGTCGAATGGCAACTCAAATAAAATACCTACAAGTCTGTCTCACAATTGATGTACACAGCAGAGTTTCCAAACGCATTGTTCAAACAGACGGGATGGTAACTGGATTTTTAGTACCTAGCTTTCACACGCGGGTAGCCCCGCAAAACGCGCTTCTTTGTACTGGCAGCAAGCATACCTTAGGTAGGTTAGTACGCACCTAGCAGGATGTTTAGCAGCTTGAACAATCGGGGAACAAATATACTGAATCAAATATAGAGAAGTACCAAATCATTGACAAATAGTCGTGCAACGATTGAATCCCTGGTGCACCCAAGAAATAGTCACGAAGACTGAAGAATTTATACAGCCAACGACAACGACAATGGAAGGAAAGAAAGTCTATTCGCATTTAGGGTAACATTCTTGATACTCCACGTTCATTGGCTGATACAAAAATATGCCAGGCATACCTGTAGGTGTCTGGACTAAGGTTGAGAGCATGCAGAACTCCAACCTCAAATAGCAAGTCGAAACTCATAGTAGCTTGAATAAAATACATGCAGTTCATCACAGGGGAGAACCGAGCCTTTTATTCCTGCATTCAGAGTAACGTACTGTAGAAGACTTTTGTCCAGTACGCCGGCCTCTGAATGTTAGTGCTATCTATCATCACGTGACTACACTCCACCTCTCACTGCTCTACCCCGTGCAATCAATCCAAATCTTCAGGTTCCTGCCTCTCCACCAAATTGATTCTCCCGTCCCTACCCACGTCACCGGGCCCCCGACAGCCCCAAACGTATCCCAACAGGCTCACGATATTATCTACATGTTGCCTGCCATCTGTAGACTATACTTTAATGACTTGTAAGTTTACCCTGCTCTTCCTGCTCCTTTCGGTCTCTACCGCGGTTCTGGCTTGCTGGCCTGTCGCCTATCGTCGATCCCGCCTCGGCCTTGACCATGCTCATCGCGATATTGCCTTCTTGAGAGCCTTATATATGGCATATCGCGATGCAAGTTGATGGATTCGATGCTTCAAGGTCAGCTAGATGCTTCTGCGACCCGTAGCAGTGTCTCCGAGCTGCCTTGTTCTTTCAATCGCGACTGGAAGGTTTTCCATCAGCCTTTCCATCGAGAACTTACACGGCATGCGACAAGTGACCAATCTCTACTGTTCTTCCTACATCTTGACCTTTCTGGCGTCGCTCCTGGGTCGCCAGAATCGCGTCATTCCAATAATGCCTCAACCGCACACGTCAGACCAGGCCATCAGCTAATATTGTCGCGTCTTCAGTAGGTAGTCTGCTTCATCACCAACATGATGTCCACCCCTACTTTGGGGGGTCCTTCCAACGGACACTTATCTCCTGGCGATGAAATCAGCATGTCTTTCGATACCGGAGACCACCTAACCGATAGCGATTCTCACGATGCTCCCAACCATATGTTCGATCAACCATCACCAGCTTCCTCAGACAATGCGAACCACGACTCAAATATGGTCCAAGATGACACACACATGTCGGCGAGCGAGCAGTCAAGTGAGGACAATGCATCTGACGACGGCGACTTCGATATGGAGGAAAGCATCATATCCCAGAACGAAGACGTGGGAGAAGACCACGCCAGCTCTACCGACTCAAATCGAACCTCTAAGCGCAAAGCTCCTGTCGAAGAAGAAGATTACATCAAAGCCAATCCAGAACTGTATGGATTGAGAAGAAGTGTGCGTCATGAAAATTTTTCACTCAACTTATGTCTTCCTGCTTGCTGACCATAGTGTAGACGCGACCCCGAGAACAACGAAAAATTGTAGGTCATCGTCAAGTAATGACACTAGGGTGCATCATTAACCCAATCCCTATAGGTCGAATCCGATGACTCGGACTCAGAACCACCTGTCAACCGCCGTACAGTCAAACGACGACGTGTCGAGACCTCGCGTCCTTGTAAGTTGTCAAACCAACCTCGCTTTGGTCGAGGTCAACTCCCCTGCTATTGTCTAACCTGTCCGCTGCAGCCTCCAAGATTGGCACACCAACGTTACGAGCCTCGACGGCCGACTCCGACTCCGACTCAGACAACTATGGCGGTGCCCGTGCAAAGAGCCTCCAGAAAAAGGCTCGAATGCAACGCGAGGCACAGCCAGCTCTTGCTCTCGCTGAAAAGCGCTGGTCAAGTCGTCGAGCTGCACAGGTACAACAAGGTGCTTATGAAGAAAGCGATGTGGATGATGACGAAGAAGATGATGATGAACTCGCTCTCGCCTCCTACACCGTCGATTATGTGGATGACTCTCCATACATAGAAAAGGTTGTCCGACATCGTCTGAAAGATGGATTGGAACTGTCTTACAACTCGACAAAGAATGACTTTGAGTACTTCATTAAGTGGCAAGGCAAATCACACTTGCATGATACATGGGAGACATTCGACGACATTCGTGGCTACCGCGGATTTCGCAAAGTCGAAAATTACTTTAAGAAGTTTGTCGACTACGAACTAGCTATCCGCTTTGGCACCGATATCCCTCCCGAGACCAAAGAGCAGTTCTTCCTAGACCGCGAGCGAGACGAGGAGGCATACGAAGACTACACAAAGGTCGAACGTGTTGTGGCTGTACGAGATGGTGAAGATGAGACCGAGTACCTTGTCAAATGGAAAGGTCTCACCTACGAAGAGTGCACATGGGAGGTCGCGTCAGATATTAGCGACGCGTTCCAAGATCAAATTGACCAGTATCTTGATCGAGCATCACGCTCCTGGCAATCAGATCGCAAGGAGACGAACCCTGATACGCGATCACGTATGGTAAAACTCGAAGAACAGCCGGACTTCATCAAAGGCGGCGAGCTTCGCAACTTTCAGCTGAGGGGTCTTAACTTCCTCTGCCTCAACTGGACGAAAGGCAACAACGTCATTCTCGCAGATGAGATGGGTCTTGGAAAAACAGTCCAGACCGTATCATTTCTGAGCTGGCTTCGCAATGCTCGTCATCAAGAAGGACCGTCCCTCGTGGTTGCGCCTCTCAGTGTTATTCCCGCTTGGTGCGATACCTTTAACCATTGGTCCCCGGATCTCAACTACGTTGTCTACCTGGGACCTGAGGATGCTCGAAACATCATTCGCGAGCATGAGCTACTTGTGGATGGAAACCCCAAAAAGCCCAAATTCAACATCTTAGTCACGTCGTATGAGTTTATCCTCCAAGACTGGCAATTCTTACAGTCCATTAAATGGCAAACCCTTGCTGTTGATGAGGCGCATCGACTCAAGAACCGCGAGTCGCAACTATACAACCGGCTGGTGAGCTTCGGCATCCCTTGCAAAATCCTGATTACAGGCACACCTATTCAAAACAATCTGGCCGAGCTATCTGCTTTACTCGACTTCCTGAATCCTGGCAAGGTTGACATCGACGAAGATCTCGATTCTTTGTCAGCCAATGATGCACAGGAAAAGCTCCAGCAGCTGCACAAGGCCATTGCACCATATATCCTCCGGAGAACCAAAGAGACTGTCGAATCAGACCTGCCACCAAAGACAGAGAAGATCATTCGTGTTGAGCTTTCAGACGTACAGCTGGACTACTACAAGAACATTTTAACCCGTAACTACACAGCCCTTTGTGATGCTACGAATGGCCACAAAAACTCTCTTCTCAACATCATGATGGAGTTGAAAAAGATCAGTAACCATCCGTATATGTTTCCAGGTGCCGAGGAGAAGGTATTGGCTGGCAGTGTGCGTCGAGAAGACCAGATCAAGGGCTTGATTGCGAGTAGTGGAAAGATGATGTTGCTTGACCAGCTTCTGTCAAAGTTGAACAAGGATGGCCATCGAGTTCTGATCTTCAGCCAGATGGTCAAAATGCTCGACATTCTTGGAGATTACTGCTCCTTGCGAGGCTATAAGTTTCAAAGATTGGATGGTACCATTGCAGCGGGCCCCCGACGCATGGCTATCAATCATTTCAACGCCGAGGATAGCGAAGATTTCTGCTTCCTTCTCTCCACTCGAGCAGGTGGTCTTGGAATCAATTTGATGACAGCAGATACTGTCATCATTTTTGATTCTGATTGGAACCCCCAAGCGGATTTGCAGGCAATGGCTCGTGCGCATCGTATAGGCCAGAAGCGGCCTGTCAACATCTATCGTCTGGTATCCAAGGAGACTGTCGAGGAAGAAGTTCTAGAGCGAGCTCGCAACAAGCTTCTCCTTGAGTATTTAACTATCCAGGCTGGTGTTACTGACGACGGCAAAGCGGCATTCAAAGAGGAATTGAACAAGAAGGGCTTAAGAGTCGAGGGCCCCTCGTCCTCGGAAGATATTCAAATGGTTCTTAAAATGCGCTCGTCCAAAATGTTTGAGCAGAGTGGCAACCAAGAACGTCTTGAACAGCTTGACATCGACTCCATTCTCGAGAACGCTGAAATCACCAAGACCAAGGTGGACGACAAGATCAATCTTAGTACCGGTGGCATTGACTGGGACAACTTCATGCAGATCACCGACGTCAAGGTTGATGACATCAACCTTGATTGGGATCAGATTATTCCCGCTGACAAGCTTGCCGAGATCAAGCTTGAAGAAGAAAAGAAACAGCATGAAGCCTACGTTGCTAAGGTTGCTGCTGAAAGCGCACCGCGAAGGGCAACGATCAAGAATCGCCACAACGAGAATGACCGTGCCGATCGTCTCAAGAAGCGCCAAAAGGAACAGCGAGACAAGGAGGAAGACGATAAACGAACCTTGCTTGCCGACCCCAAGCGTCCTTTGACCGACAAGGAGCAACGCAGTCTTATCAAGGCCTACTTCCGATATGGTTCTATGGATGATCGTGGCAATGAAATTATCAAAGACGCCAAACTCAAGGAGAGAGATCAAGACTATGTCAAGTCTGTCCTCGATGAGTTTATCAAGGCAGCCAAAGAAGCCGTTGACGAGAACTACGCTCAGATGATGGAAGAGGAGAAGAGGCTTGGAAAAACTCTTACAAAGAAGGATCGCAAGGCAGTTCTGATTGACTTTGCAGACTTGAAGAAAGTGAACGCTGAAACGGCTATCGAGCGTCCCAAACAGCTTCAGCTTCTTCGACAGGCTATCCATAGCCACAGTGACTGGCACTCTTTTCGCCTGCCTGACGCGACAAAGGCCGCCAACTATTCATGTGCTTGGGGCGCCAAAGAAGATGCTATGCTTCTGGTCGGCATTGACAGACACGGTTTTGGTGCCTGGCCACAGATTCGCGATGATCCTGACTTGGATATGGCTGACAAGCTCTTCCTTGAAGAACATCGCGTTGAGAAGAAGGAAGAACGCAGCAAGGGCAATGATAAGATGAAGGCCCCTGGTGCAGTGCACCTTGTTCGTCGCTCAGAGTATCTGCTCTCTGTCCTGCAAGCGAAGCATTCCAATGACCGAGGCGTACAACGAGCGGTGGAGAACCATCATCGGAACAACAAAAAGTCACTTGCTAATGGTCATCGTGGAAGTGCCACGGCATCTCCTGCTCCCCACAATGGAAAGAAGCATCGTGATCGTGACAGAGAACATCTCCATGGGGATCTTCACCGATCCCGTAGCCATGCTGACGAGCGTGGCACTCCACGACCCGACTACAAGCGCAAACACCTATCACACGAAGATAGTCGAAGTCCTAAACACCGGCGTCTCGAGGAGCATCGTCGCTCCAGTAAACATGGAGAGGACAGAGATAGATCGGAGAAGCGTCGATACCGTGATGATGAGGACCGTCGTGATGAGCGTCGCGACGACCGACGGCATGACAAGCATCGCCTTAGCTACAGTCATCGTGAAGACCGACGTGAAGACCGACGTGAGGACCGACGTGATGATCGACGTGATGATCGACGTGATGACCGTCGTGATGAGCGCAGAGATGAGCGCAGGGACGACCGTCGCCATGATCGTCACCGCGAAGATCGTGAGCGTGAGCGCGAACGAGCTCAGGACTCATACCCACAGGACGAGCGCCGAGCTAAAGCTCTTCGTCGGCTAGATGAGCTTCGCCGAGTTGGCGATAACAAAGATCAACGAGCCCAGGACAACGATGCCATGATATGGTTCCTACTGAAACCGGTCCGCGAAAACTTCGAGAAAATTCTTTCTACAACCAAGGACAAGGTCAAGTCTAGCAAAGAGCGGGCAAGCATTTTTGGGGCGGAGTTGGTCGTTATCGGCACCTTTCTCGACGAAAAGCTAGCGGCCACTGCTGCCGATGAGGGCCTGAAGAGTAATTTCTGGTAAGTTTCATTTCTCTACAAGTAATTGAACTTCGCTAACCTGGCTACAGGGACTTTTTGGCAGCCCTTTGGCCTGTGGACGATACAAGCAAGAGCGTCACTGGAAAACGACTGAGCAACATGTATCGCACTCTTCATGCCCGAGAAAAAGATTCTGGCTCGGCCAAGACCAACGGTGCATAATCACCCCGAGAAATGCAACGAGCGATTCTCGACAACAAATACACCACCAACCGGTTACGTACAGATATACCTGAATTTTTGTTTTTTTCATGACGACTTTAGCATCTTTATTTCCCCGCATAGGATCGGCGTTTGGTTGTGCATACCTCAATGAACAGGGCTAGTACGATGTTGCCCTTTGCTTGGTGTGGAGTGGTTCAGATCATACCCGGATTGCATGATATAGGACTTGTCATAGGCGGAGTTGTGTCGTCTCGTCTCGCCTTGGCTATTGCCAAGATTATACACTGGAGGACATGTCTTTATGCATTTGAGGAGGATGAGCGTTGCGTCCTTTTATTGAAGCGAACTTGTTACCAAGGACTCAACTTGATGCTGGTTAGTTGGTCAAAGACACCTGGGGCAGATACCAATGTAACAAACACTTCAGAGAAGAGAGACCTTGGTTGTTAGATGATTGTTTTCTTCATGGATGGCAAAAAAGAGCAATGATAGTCAAGCAGCGGGTTAGGCTTGGACTGATAGAAGCTTTATATTATACAGACGAATAATTAACGACGTCCTTTGATCCACTGTGACCTGGCCTTGCTTTCTATGCGTTTAATGTAATTCTTTCAGGATTGTGAATGTCAAGCTACCTATGGATGGGAACATGGTTGTTCTTATGCGGTAACTCTGGAATTCCCTTCAAACACTAGACGTATACTAGAATTTTGAACATTGGCAAACATTGAATCTGTCAAGGCTAGGCGTTTGTGATGCCCTCAAAGAAGCTGTTGGGGCTTGCCTGTACCTATTCGAATGGATGTCCACTGATTGCCACAAGCTGTGGATCCATCTGCCATCTGCACGAAGGAACACCGCCTCGACCATCCACCTCAATAATCTGATCATGTCATAAGCACTCAACAACCACCAGATATAACCAAACATAAAAATGTAGGTGCTACCCACAGACTTTAACTTAACTCACCATTCTCATTGACATGGCTCAAAGAATCCCTAAACTTATGATGACTTCTTACGCTCATGAACGTCAAATCGCAGAGCTCGCCGTCTTGCGGGCCTCAATCCTTACAAAGAGGGTGCAATCAAGCGTCAGTGGAATCTCAAAAGCCGACGACTCACCAGTCACTGCTGCCGATTTCGCCGCTCAGGCGGTCCTTATCAGTGCTCTTCGAAAGGCTTTCCCCGGTGACGCCTTTGTTGGCGAAGAAGACTCCAGCGCCCTGAGAGAAGATGACGCTTTGAAGCAGCGTGTGTGGGAATTGGCCTCCAACGCCCATCTGGAGAACCCAGATGATGAAGCCTTACTCGCAAGCCCTCAGGATGTCGACGAACTTCTTGAGGTAATTGACCTTGGAGGTCGTGGCCAGGGCGGTAGAAAGGGGCGCTTCTGGGTCATGGATCCTATTGATGGAACCGCCACATTTCTCAAAGGCGAGCAGTATGCTGTGTCCCTGGCTTTGGTAGAGGATGGTCAAGAGGTTGTCGGTGTCCTAGGCTGTGCAAACCTGAAGCCAGTAGATGGGAAGGTTGCAGAGTCAACCGTTGATAAAGATGGCTTAGGTATCATGCTCACCGCAGTTCGTGGACAGGGCGCAACGGTCCGCAAGATGGAATTCAACGGCCTCCAGCCTGCCCAGCCTCTGGATAGTATCTCCAAAGCGTCCAGCCTTGCTGACGCCCAAATCATCAACTACTCCAGCGGCTCAACCTCACGCCACGATCTCATTACCAAGCTTGCCAACTCATTCGGTGCCAAATTCCCCAACATCGAGCTATACTCGTCTCACATTCGTTACGCAGCGCTTCTCGTTGGCGGCGGCGACTTTCAACTTCGCGTGCCTTCGTCTAGTGATGTGCACATGTGGATTTGGGATCATGCTGGCGCCCAGCTGATCCTGACCGAGGCGGGTGGTAAAGTGACAGATCTCGATGGTAAGGAAATGGATTTTGGAGCTGGACGGGACTTGAAGCAGTGCAACAACGGCCTGCTCGCAGCGAGAGAGGGGATCCACAAGGCGGTGCTAGAGGGTATGGGCAAGCTTCTGACTGAAGATGCATCTCGTTGAGTATATGCTAGATGAGGGAGGATTGCCTACAAAGCTAAAACCTAACATTATTAACCAATAGTTTGTGATACCTATATCCAATCTTCGACATGTGCCAAAAGCGTATCTTACATCAAACTGCTTCTTCCTCCAATCTCCATGCTTCCTTGTCCATCCTTCATCTGTCCACTTCTGCCCACGACAAACTCTGTATAAATCCTCTGCAGTCTCGTCCTCTCCTCGGAACTGATACTCGCTCTTGTGTTATCCAGCGCCTTGATGAGATGATCCCACTCAATGACCACCTCTCTCTGCTCGCTAGCTTGCGCTTTGGCATCAACGTTGCCTGCAGGAATGCCGTGTACTTGCTTTGACTTCTTGCGAGCTATCTTGATTTCCTCGAGCTTTGCGAGAATTGATGCATTCTCGACGAGGGCAGCTGACTTGCTCTTCGGAGTGGCTTCCATAAGTGGCTTAACTTTATCTCCGTAGCGGAACTGCACAAAGCTCGGTGTGGAGTTGGACTTGGCGTTGGTACCGTTGGTTCGCTTCGAAGTGATTGCAGGCCCGTCTACGTCCAAGACGTCATGGATAGCCTCCAGTTGAGCGTTGGATACAAGAGCCTGTAGATCAGCACCCGAGAATCCTTCGGTTCGACGAGCGATGTCGGTAAGGGGCCCGTCAGTATCAGTCAATTCATCCGAGAGTCTGACCTTCTGGAAAAGTGCTTTGATGATATCGACTCGATCTTCCAAAGCAGGCATATCGCACAGAAGAGACTTGTCTAGTCGACCAGGACGAAGTAAAGCGGGATCAATCAGATCAGGTCGAGACGTGGCTGCCAGCACATAGACGCCTGATAGACCTTCGGCACCGTCCATTTGTGTTAGAAGCTGGTTAACCACGCGGTCCGTGACGCCTGTAGAGTCATGTCCTCTTTTGGGCGCAATGGAGTCGAACTCGTCAAAAAACAGCACACATGGCTTCGCAGCTTGAGCTCTGTCAAACAAGTCTCGGACACTCTTTTCAGAGGCACCAATATACTTGTTTAGAATCTCGGGACCCTTGACACTGATAAAGTTAAGACCACACTCGCCGGCAACCGCGCTGGCAAGAAGAGTTTTACCACAACCGGGATATCCATAAAGAAGAAGACCCGACCGGAGACGTAAAGGGCATTGGGCGAAGATTGGTGCGTACTTGGTAGGATATTGTAGCGTCTCCAGAAGTACCTGCCGCGTTTCTTGTAGACCTCCGATGGACTTGAAGCTCGTCGATGAGCTCTGCAACGTCACATTCCTCAACGAGGCGGGAGTAAAGCCCTTGAGAGCCTTGTCGAAGTCAGCACGAGCCAAATGAATGGCACCTGTTGAGTCCGGTGATTCAGCAATGGCTCGAATAATAGCTTCGTTTCGCGCACGGGATACCAGCACGCTGATGTCGCCAGGCATGTAGCCGTCGGTAGAGCCTGAAATATCCAGGAAATCAAGATCCGGGTCCAGAACGAAGCCGCTTGTCTTTGCTTGGCGATCCTCCTTGCTCGTGTGGCTGTGACCATCCATCCACGCACCACTATCTCCTCCAGTCATGCTGCTGTCAGCAGTTTGGGGTCGGCTTCCATCACTGAACTGTGCCTGGGCTTCATCGGCAGTCACGGCATCCTGCATAACGATCGACTCCATGACTCGGCGCCTTGCCTCCTTATCAGGTGCCTTGAGCTCTACGATCTCGCGCACTACGTGGCCACTGACCACGACTCCGTTGATAGACTCTTTGCCTTCAGCTGTCGCCAAAAGCACAACGCCACTGTCCCGGGTACAATATTGTCTCACAATAGAGCAAAGAATCTCACCCACTTGCCTGCTCCTGCCATTATCGTTTCCAACCTGGAGTTCTGTCTCTACAGGGCAAAGCTTATCCAGATCGTCAAGGATGACTACAGCCTTCCCGTTCAACCGTGCGCCCCAACTGGCAGAGGCGAACAAGCGATTGAGTGTTTCTTTTATCGTCGAAATCCTCGTCTCGTCGTTGACAAGTTTTCGACAGGGATAATAAAGCGTATGGAACAATGATTCTTGTCGAAGCTTTTGGGCCAAGTGCTTAGCAATAGAAGACTTCCCCGAACCCATGCCTCCTGTGAGAAGAACTGAAGATAGGTGCATCAGGTTGGACTGTAAGTTGCTCAGCAGAGAGTCAATTCCGACAAGGAGCGAGTCGTGAGTCGGCTGTCGCTCAAAGCCATCGGGTTCAGACATCCAGGATGGCCGAGTTGTGGGTGGCTGAAAGTCAATAGGCAATTTGGAATCGAGCCCAAGCAGCCAATTTGTTGCCTCCTTGCTCTCCTGGAAGTCTGCACCGTAAGTGAACTTGACAATACCACCTTCCCACCCCTGAGGAGCCTCAAGACCGTCGTATAAGCCTATAACAGACCCGTCTGTTACCGGGCCCTGGAGGAGCCCATCGGTATCCCTAGAACCATCGTAAATCTGACGAAATCGTTTCGCAGCTTCTTCTTTCTCGGCTTTGGATTCTCCACCAAAACGAAGGCCTTCAACCGTCTTTGCACTCGTGGCGAAAGGGAAGACCTTGATGCTTTGGACTGTCCCTTTGGAAAGTTGTTGCTGCGCAGCTTGGAGCTTTACGATACCGCCAACCATACCAGTGCAGCCGAGAGTCGCACAGAGGGGAGATGAGAGAGCCACCGTCTGACTATTAGGAGGGTCGATCCATGACCGGAGGTGTGCGATCACCTTTGTGGCTGCAGTCATACCAGTGGGAACACCGCCTTCTTCTGGCAGAGGTTGCTGCAGTCCAGCTGGTCTGATGACATCGACCGCAACGTAGTTCACTCCTTTCAAAGCTTCTCCAGAAAGAAGGTCATGATCAACCCATACACTAAAATCCTGCGGCAGTGGTCCTTCGTCAAACCATTCTTCGCATGACGTTCGATCGAGACCGCGCAGGAAAATGGCCGACCGTCGCTCTTCCTTTGCGCTTCGACGCCGCACCGTACTTGTCGCGCTTCTCTTGGACTTGGAAGTGCTGGCCACACTTCTATGATCGCCAGAGTTGAGTGAGCTCTTCTGCCTCGTTTTTGGTGCGACAATCACCTCGGCGTCGGGGGATATCTTCGCAAAGGGTAGGTCTGCAGGAGGCGCAGGGTCCAGTGAGATGACCTTGATATTCGCTGTCGAGGTCGGGGATAGGTGCAGCGTTAATGCGTGGGGCGCAATAGGATTGTCGCCGACTTTGTATGAGGGGTTCGGCAACGCTCGGATCTGGGACAGGAGATTTAGTTCGAGGAAAGTCGCGTGCAACTCAATGATCTCCCAGTCCTCTGGCGTGAGAGGTTCAATGTTAATTGTATGCGCCATCGGAGGATCGAGATGGATGGTGGCCATGATCTTCTGTCCTTCTGACAGTCCCAAGGTCTTTGCTAAAGTAGCATCGAGCTCAACAAGCTGAACCTCCTGATCGCGAGATACCCTCGAGCCATTGAGTCCATCGCGCGTAGCAGGCGGAGCTGTTCTTCTCTTGCTTGGCATTCCTGTCCATCCTACAAATACGGAGCGCTGCTGCGAGCCTGACCCGGTTGACGAGGCATCTCGGTAGCTGAGTTCGACGATAACATTTTGCGCCGGCTATGAGTCGCATATCAGCTAATTGCGGTGACAGATTGAGAAACAAGGCAATCCCTTACAGTGTTGACATTGACTAGTAATGAGACCAGCGACGACGGGAGGTTGACCAAGCAGCTCTTAAGGTGACTTAGGGAGATCTCGCCGGATACTGATTGCGCGTTTCTTTTTGGGGGCATGATGAGCTGTACAGATGATTACCTAGACTCTTAGGTATGAATAAGTCCCAGCTTTCTTGGAGAGATATAGCAAGAAACTGGGGGGGTGCCGAAAGAATTCCGATCTCAACTCCGTTTCTCATCCCGCAGCCGAGGTATCTATCTACACGTGCTCGGGATCCTCGCCGTACCTACCTACGGTATCCGTACTTACCTATCGCCTAACCTTACCTGCCCTTCCCCAGCTTTCCGCTTTATGGTCTGTGCTCTATTTTACTTCTGCGATACCGCTGTGGCTGGTGTCAATTAAAACTGCATGTGGCTGTGCGTAGCCCAACGCGTCAAGACGCGATCGATGTTCGCGTACTAGAAGGAAGGTCCATTGCAACCACCGTTGCCCCCCTGCGTTGGGACTGGCCCCAGCCCACTCAATTTGTGCATCGCTGTCGCATCTCGCTGTACCGTACTCCGTATTCTGTACCTATTATACCCACCTCAATACACAAACTTGACGACTTACAGCGCTTTCCGAACTCGACATTCCCTCATATCTTGGTCAAAAATGGCGCTGCGCGAGTTCAAGGCACCTGTCAGCTACGAGAAGCAACAACGTCAGTAAATCCTTTATTTATTTACTGGATTCAATCATCCCTTGTAGGCGCTAATAAACCATGCAGATGCCTTCCAGGAGTTCTTGACAGGATTCAAGACATCGCCTGAGCAAACAATTACAACTGCGCTGGGAAATATTACCATCGGAGAGGATGACCTGGACGACGAGTATGACTTTATGGACGAGGATGGTCAGGATGAAAACCAACGTCAACAAGCTAAGGAGCGCCGGGCTCCTCAATACAAGTACAAGAACATGCTGCAGCAACTTTCCGACCGAACAATCGACGAGGCGACAATTGATCTCGATGATCTAGCGACGGTATGGGTTGGCGAAATTCTCTTACTTACCACAGCCCACTGACAGTTCGTAGTGGGAGAGCCAAGCGTTTGACAACGAAGACAGCATGAGGCTTGTGGATTCTATTGAGATGAACACAAAGCACTATGTTGAGATTTTTTCCAGAGCGGTGGACGAGGTACTGCCTCCAGCAAGCGCAGACATAACGTGGGTATTTATCACCGGATCCCCAATCTATCCTATTAACATCAAATAGCTTCAAGGATGATGTTCTCGACGTGTTGATGGCTCGACGACAAACCCGTAACCGAGAGCTTGATGAAGCCGCTGAACGTGACCCAACTGCTGCTGATGACAAGTTCCCTGCAGAACTCACCCGCAGATACACTCTCGTCTTCAAGCCTCGATCTGGCACCTCAAGCCAGCCTTCAAAGGCACTGGCAGTGCGACAAGTGCGTGGTGAGCACTTGGGTCACCTCATTACCATTCGCGCAATCGCTACCAGAGTCTCTGATGTCAAGCCCATTGTGCAAGTCAGTGCATACACCTGCGACAGATGTGGTTGCGAAATCTTTCAGCCTATCACTGATAAGCAATATGGTCCCCTCAATATGTGTCCTTCAGAAGACTGCAAGCAAAACCAGGCCAAGGGTCAGCTCAACCCCTCTTCAAGAGCTTCCAAGTTCTTGCCTTTCCAGGAAGTCAAGGTTCAAGAAATGGCTGAACAGGTTCCTATCGGTCAGATCCCTCGCAGTCTTACAGTTTTCTGCCACGGAACGCTTGTCAGACAGATCAACCCTGGTGATGTTGTCGATATTTCGGGCATCTTCCTTCCTACTCCTTACACGGGCTTCAAGGCCATGAAGGCCGGTCTGCTTACCGACACTTACCTGGAAGCCCACCACGTTCTTCAACATAAGAAGGCCTACAGCGAAATGATCGTGGATCCCACATTAGTTCGCCGTATTGAGAAATACCGTCAGACCGGCCAGGTTTACGAGCTTCTCGCCAAGTCAATTGCCCCCGAAATCTTTGGACATGTAGATGTCAAGAAGGCCCTTCTGCTTCTTCTCATTGGTGGTGTGACTAAAGAGATGGGAGACGGCATGAAGATCCGTGGTGACATCAACATCTGCCTGATGGGTGACCCTGGTGTGGCCAAGTCTCAGCTCCTCAAATACATCTCCAAGGTCGCCCCTCGTGGTGTTTACACATCAGGCCGTGGAAGCAGTGGTGTCGGTCTGACGGCGGCTGTCATGCGAGATCCTGTCACTGACGAGATGGTCCTCGAGGGTGGTGCTCTTGTCCTCGCCGATAACGGAATCTGCTGTATCGATGAATTTGATAAGATGGATGAGACTGATCGTACCGCTATCCACGAAGTTATGGAACAGCAAACTATCTCTATCTCCAAGGCCGGGATCTCCACTACCTTGAACGCCCGTACCTCCATTCTTGCTGCCGCTAACCCTGTCTACGGACGATACAACCCTCGCATCTCCCCGGTTGAGAACATCAATCTGCCCGCTGCACTTCTGTCCCGTTTCGACATTCTTTTCTTACTTCTTGATACCCCTACGCGTGAGACAGACGAGCAGCTTGCTAAGCACGTTGCTTTTGTGCACATGAACAGCCGACACCCCGATATTGGCACAGACAACGTAATTTTCAGTCCTCACGAGGTGCGATCATACATTGCCCAAGCCAGAACATACCGACCTGTGGTTCCCGAGAATGTGTCGGAGTATATGATCAAGACATACGTGCGCATGCGAGACCAGCAGCAGCGTGCCGAGAAGAAGGGCAAACAATTCACTCATACCACTCCTCGTACCCTTCTAGGTGTTGTTCGTCTAGCTCAAGCTCTGGCACGACTGCGATTCAGTAATGAGGTTGTTCAAGACGATGTTGACGAGGCCCTGCGACTAGTAGAGGCTAGTAAAGAAAGTCTCAACAACGAACTCGATAATAGACAACAGGCCCAGTCGTCCAACGATAGGATCTACAGGCTGGTCATGAACATCCTTGAGTCTGGCCAGTGCCGTCCTGATGACGCTACCGACGATGAAGACTTGCGTGATGAGCTAGATATGAGAAAGGTCAGGGAACGGGTCCTCGCCCGCTTCACCGAAGATCAGTGGCTTAACGCCCTGGAGGCATACGCCCATCTAGATGTAAGTTTTTTTCTATCTTTCCATGCACCGCTTGCATCACTCAGAATATGTCGCTAACGAGATCTCAAGGTCTGGCAAACTGCTAGCAGCGGTAACAGACTGGTATTCATCAACCGGGTTGACAACCAGGAGGAAGCCATGGACTTTTGAGCATCCGGCATGTAATGGCGTGGCATATATTATGTACGGGTCCGGCGTTTTTGGCATATTGATGTAGACAAGAGCCTGCAAGTCTTGCTCCGAACAATGAGATTAGTAACGAACTACGAATCATCTGCAACCTGAGTGTGAACTCGTATGGCATGATCTGTCTAAGACGTAGGAGCTGTGCATGCTTTATAGATTTCTACTCAGACACCAATATTGTACATTTATAGAATACATTTTACAGTCTCATTTGCATCAGTGACGCACGCTCCATCTCACCAACATTGCCATGGCCTCCAACCGTCCACTTTTCAGAGACGGTCCTTGAGTTAAGCACATGGCGGAAGAGTCCACTGGCGCCCCAATACTCCATCAGAGAGCGGGCCTCATCCTTGCTAATACCTTCCAGACGGAGAACCCAGCTGTTCTTGAGAGCCTCGTATACACGTTCATCATACTTGCGCTCATAAGGGTCAGGCTTGGGTATCTCGAGACCGGCCTGGCCAGCCTCAAGCTGGGACAGAACAAGCTCTTGTGATGGATGGTGGTGGGTATTGTTTTCAGAGGTGGCGGCGATAACGGCGCCACCATTAGGTAGGGGAGCCTTGCCGGATAAAGCATCGACGAAGAGACGTACCAGAGTCAACTCATGGGCATGGACCTGGTTGAAGGCAGTGTCTCGGTAGTCGCTGATCTTGTTGATGTGGGCAAGACCATCGAGGGCAAAAAGCACAGGGGGTCGGCCGGGCAGAGTCAGCTCTGTCCAGAGGGCCAAGAGGGTTGGCCAGGCGTATTCAGCTTCCTTTGCGCTGAGGGCCAAGTCGGCAAGGGTAGCACCCTTCTTGAGGTTGGTGAATTTGGACCAGTCTTGCTCAATGTTGAGTTTCTCAAGAACGACACGGTTGGCTCTGTAAAGGCTCTGTATCGCCTTGAGGCAGTAAATGGGCTGAGAGAACTGCGGTGGCTCAGTATCGGGAATAGGAGAGTACTCAGTGTTACCGTTGGTTAGATCTTGGCCTGCGTTGGTCAGTCAGCTTGCCTTCCTGTATGACGGCTGGAGAGACCTACCTTCAGGAATATGGAAGACCACCCAGTTATTGAGAAGAGCGTAAGACATAGCCTGAAGCATGGCCATGCTCTTTCCAGATAGCTTGCTACCTGTTAACACACACTTTAGGGCCTTCTTCTCCTTGGTCGACAGCTCGAGCTTCTTCATCAACTCCACCGTCTCCTTACGCATCAGCACATGGGGTTTTCGGAACAAATTCCATGTCTGTGTTGTCTTAAAAGCGTCGAGGGCACGGAGATGATCCACCACTTGATCAGGCACAGCAAACACCTTTCCGGAGCTCGAGTCCTCAGTCATGTTGGTAGCGTCCAGGGTTTCGAGGCCTTGAACGGGTAGTGCGCTGTTGTTGCTGAGCTGGATGCGCTTTCGGAAGGCCTTGCGCTCGCCAGGCTGAGGTTTTCGGACAGGTGCCACATTGGCACGCTTCTTGTATGACTTCTTAACCTTCTGAGGGAGATCTCTTCGGCTCTTAATGGGCGGGGGAGCTGATACGGCCAATGCAGAGCTCGTGGTCGAGAATGGAGCGAGCAAAACAGGTTGGATTCGAGGAGCCCGAGGAATGGTAGGCCTAATGAGGCATCGGAGAGTGTTGGCGGAAGCCATCATCCTTAAGAGCATCCCACAGATCTCGTCTAAGGGGGCCTTTCGTTTATATCGGTAACTTAGACGACGTCTATAGTCGCATTGGCGCTAATTGAGCCGGTTCTGGGACGCTCGTCTCGCGGCCGTCGTGAGCTGAAGTTGAATGCCACTCTCGAAAATCTCGGAGCATTAACGACACGCCCCCAAGCGTGCAGGGATTGGAAGCAGTGGGGACGTCTGATTGGTTAGCGGGGTAGTTTGTCGGAAAAACGGCTGTCTACTGATCCGACATGTCTTATCGCTAATGAAAAAAGATGGTCTTGCACGACGTTGGAAAAAAAGTTCCCAAGCAGCAACATCAAGACAGTTGATTTGCGACAACTCCGATAGTCGTCTTACGAGCTGACGATAAATACCGACCGACATCAACATCAACACAATCAATTTCGACTCATTATACCAAATATCACAATGTCGCTCCCAAGCTCTAAGCCCAAGCTGCCCGTCGCAGTAGAAAAGCCTACACCATACACTTTCGACCTTGGCAATCTCCTCGCAGAAGATCCCAACCCCGTGACCCTCGACCGCGAAAATCTTGAGCAGTCCCTCGCCGAGCTCGCCCGCGATGGTGCTCAATCCCTCATCAACCAATTTCTCACCACATGCCCTCTGAGCTCCACCACCGAGGGCGTCCTGCTCACGCTCCCCGCGCCAAGCACCCGCCTTCCTCGTGAGAAGCCCATTCCTGAGGCCAAGCCTCCTACCAAGTGGGAGCGCTTCGCTGCAAAGAAGGGTATCAAGCCCAAGACTCGGGAACAGCGTCGCAACCTTGCCTTCGACGAGCAGACAGGCGAGTGGCAGCGCAAGTGGGGATACCAGGCCCTCAACAAGAAGGGCGAGGACTGGCCTATTGTCGAGGTCGATATGGCGGCCGAGAGGAAGAGAAAAGAAGGCACCTCCATCCGTGGCGACGGCCGAAGAGAGCGCAAGGAGAGGATCAAGCGCAACGAGCGCATGATGCGCAAGAACCAGGGTATCGCAAAATAAGCATCAGCGGCTATGGAAAAACAAGGATTGGGCCTCTAGTTTTACGCAGGCACTGGTCAGGACTATTGCTGTTGGGCATGTAGCGGCGTTCAGGACTTTGGCGTTTCAAATCGGCATCTGAAAAGCTCGGGATTTGGGAGGGTTTAGACGTGCAGCTTAGGATTAGAAACGTTTCCATCACAACCTTTCGACTCCCGTGCTATGTTTCATCTGTACCAGAAATGCATGCTCATCCCCAAGATGCAATGCTGCGCGTGCGAGTCGTTAATGCACGCCACTATTTGTTGGAGTTTTGCTGTCAGCCATTTTTGCGAAGGTGTCTGATATAAGGCAGTTGAGGACTGAAATTGGGCACCATCCTGCCAACTTGTGTTTCAGTTTTGTCACTATAGACTAGTTCCATTTGAATGCTCTCAGTTACGCTGCGAGCTGTTCGCAGAAACCATCGTTTCCCAATCCAAGCCTGCGCAACCACACTGACGCCTGTCTTCCCAACCCCTTTTAACTCGGCGCTGATCGTTAACCAGTCACACCACCAAATCAAACAAAGTGACATAATGCAGCTTATCAATTAAATCAACAGGAACAAAAACGCTAAAACTTCAAAAATTGTTCCCCCGAGATTGGGTACAACACAACCCCCGTGATGATATTCTCCTCAAAATGCAATGGGGTATACCAAGCAACAAATAGAGAAAAGAGTTATAAAAAAGAAAGAAAGCAAGCAAGCAAGTTAAAAGGCTTCACTTGCTTGGCGGTTATCGACAGACATGCTCTTTTGGAAGCTCGAGTGAATTGCATATCGCCAAACTGCCAGATCACTCTATGGAAACGCCAGCGTTCGAGCAACCAGATTGTGCAACGAGGGCGAAGGACGAAAGTCGTAAGGGCATGACGTCGTAAGTTGGCTTCTGAGTACACGTAGCCACGTGCTCCATCATGGTGGTCAGTTCGATCATGAATCAAGACATCAGCCTGTTTCGAGAAGGAGTGCTGCAGAACAGTGGGTTGTGCTTCTAATGAAACGCAGGCCAGTGTATGCACGACGCTGTGAGGATCCTCATCGTATTTCGGTCAATGATCAAGTCGCTGTTCTTGAGGGACGCATGTTTGCCCGCGGCACTCAACGGGTAATCCGCATATGTCAAGCTCAGAAGCCGAGAGGCGATAGAGGCATGATGGGTGATAGCGGTCGTATATCGGTTGAGGGTCTTTGTACATCGTGGTCATTATTGGTATTCAAGGTGGCTGGGGCAGACGAGTTGGTCGAGGCGACACTTCCGCTCGAGGGGGATATCTGGAGCTGCTTCTTCTTCAGCTTTGAGTTCTGATTGCCGGGACTGTGGCGGTCTGACTTTTTGCTGCTACCAGAGGAGGAGAGTTGTTGCCGATCATCTTCTGACTCTTCTTGGGGTCTTGGCTTGGCTGGCTCAGCGAGACCTCTTGGTGGGGGCTGATCAAAAATCACATATTCCTCCTCGATATACTTGGCCTCGTTCTTGCATCCTCGCCAGCAGTCGCGCCAGTCGCATACCAAGAATTTGAAGCAAAATGCGTCAATCTTCATACATGGCTGAAAACAGATGCAAAGGTTCCTAAAATCCATCTTATTTTTGTCCGAGTGAGCCAAGAGAAGACTGAGGTGGCATGTAATGGCAAAAAGCAAGTAGTAATTGAAAGGGGAGAGGTTTGAGAGTTCTTCGACAAGAAGCTCGGGGACTTCTTCTGAGCCTGCACATTCTTTCGAAATTCGATCCTGCGCCGCTTTAGGGAACAACTCGTCGGGAAGCTCTCGTAGCCATGCTTTGAGCATCGAGCCAATGATGTTGATATCGTATAGGTCGCGCTCGTTAAAAAGATTGACATCGTACTCTGTTCTGGGTCAGCACGAGTTTCAAAAGATCAGTAACGATGTGGTCAAGACTTACGCTCATCGAACTTTCGCTGCCACTTCTTAATCTGGGGGCCACTACCCGGAACACGATAAAGACCCTCAACCTCACATCCTTTATAGTTCAAGTAATCAATTGCCCTCCACGGAAAAGCCGGCATCCAAAATTCCGTCTTATCTCTCGAGTCCTCGAGTCGCTTTGAAATTCGTGTCAACCGTGTTTGCTCAACAAGTGGTAGATTGATAACCTTGAGCTGATAGTGTTCATCATCCAAAGCTTCCTTGTCTTCGCGACCACCTCGTCCACCCTTGAAGAAGCGGTCGCTCAGCATACCAGCCGCGCGAGTTCCCGAGCTCTTTAGACCGTTGAAGAAAGATCCTCCGTTCTCGTTCAGAGAGGAAGGTTGAGTCTTCGGTTCTTTATCGCGTTGCGCTTTTCTCGTCGAAGACGTATCTCTCGGCGCGCGGTCCTCGGATCGATTTCGGACGGCGGAATTCATCATGTCCCGAATCGATCGATCGTTGGCTTGGTTGCCGGCTTTGTACGGTACAGAATTAAGATGTAGTTCCGGCTCGTTACCTTGTCGGGGAGAAGTAACAGGTTTGAGCTCGGGGCTGGCGTCTTCTTTGTCGCGATTGGACCGGCTGCGATTTAAAATGCCAAAAGGTTTAGACCTGCCTTTTCTTGTTGACGATTGGGGTGAAGCGGCCTCGTAGTCACCAGCAGATGATACAGATAAGTCGCTTCGTAAGGGATCGGCGGAGGTAGGTTTATGGAGTGTATGTTCGGGATATGTGGGATCAGATTTCTCTGGGAGGTGTCAGCAGTTGGTCATAGACCCAAGTTTCTGTGCGATAACCAAAACATGAGGGCTCGTCCCAATGCCAGGCTTAGCTCCATGTTCACATACCTCTGTGTCTTGTTTGATTAGATCCGTCACTACCCCTCGACATTACCTGAGCTCTGGTCTCTGTCTTCTTACGGTAGTGGGCATGAGGTTGGAATTGGCTGGAAGACTTGGATTGTTTGTTGAAATGGAAGAAGCCGTTCTTGGAGCTCTTTTTCGGTTCGCTCAAGGCTTGTTGCCGTACTTCGGACGGCGACGGTGTCCCAGCAGACGCGGGTGGATCAGGAAATCGTTCTTCCAAAGTAGATGAGATGGAAGGATAAGTCGAGGGATCCTCGCGTGTATGTCGTAAGGGCGGTCGTGAAGTGGGCTCTTCTCTGTTACTCCATCCGGTGGTCGCCGCGGAAGTTGAGGGTCGTTGTGTAGTCGCTGACGCTGGCGCGGACGATGACAGTGACGGTTCTCCTTGACTGGGGACAGTCGTCAATGCTGCAGTTGTGTTTGATGATTTCTTTTGTTTTTGCTTGCTGCCCTGGTTTCTCAAGGGCGAGAATCGACTATGGAAAGGAGAGGAGCGGGGAGACCGGGGCGATTTGGACTCGACCGGCGATACAGCCGGGGAAACGGTTTCAGCAGTTAGCGGGCTGTCTTTGTTGCGTAAAGCAGCGTCAGAATCGGACTGGGCTTGGACTTGTGTTTGTGTTTGGGACTGGGTCGAAGACTGAGACTGAGACGAAAGCGCCAGCGGCTGTGGTGCCGCCTTACGACCCATTTCGAATTCTGCCTATTCACGGCGCAGTCTCAGTCGAAGTCGCAGAGGCAAAGGCCGACACAGACACAGGCGCAGACGCAGTGGCACTGTACTGTATGTAGACGCGGGCCCTGCTTCGCAAGCTCCCACTGCCACGGTGGGCGAAACGGGAGGGGGGTCCAAACTGCGGGCCAGGGGTCTGCCAGGTATGGATGGGTTGATTGATGGATGGATGGATGAACGCTGTGTTATGCTTTGAGCCGATCTTGTTGCGGGTCGCGGGTCGCGGGTCGAAGGTGACGGTAAATCCAGCCTGAAAGGGCAGGCCAGAGAGAGAGAAGGAGGGAAAGAAGTTACAGGTAATGTTCTAGCAAGGAATGGAGTGGGAAATTTGATACATATGACAATCGGTCACCGGCTGGAGCAATAGAACAGGTGGGCGTGCGCGTTGACGTTTTGTTCGTAGTGTAGGTTGGTATTGAGATTGGTACAGTACTACTGGCTGCCTGGTATTTGATTGTACCTAGGTGGAAGTGACTGGGCGTTGGGCTAGGTCAGGGGCATTCCCTAAGCATCCATGAGGTTAGGGAAACCGGGTCAGATCCAGGCGATATAGTAGAGCAGAATGAAAGAATAATAGAGTTGAAGAGAGAAATGAAGGTGAAAGTCAACTCCTCAATCTTGGAAAAATACCTGATGGAGGGAAAGTCTCGTGGCCTCGAATCGGCTGCCCTTTAAGTTAGGTACCTGACGGGACCTGGACCTAACTGTCTCCGCTGTGCGCTGTACCTACAGCACTGAGCTGTGCGGTGTGGTGCTCCAGCTGTCCAGTGTTGACGAGCATCCACCATCCCCTCCATGGACCTAGGTACGATGATGATAATAATATCAATCAAGTGGGCACTAATGCATGTATGTATGTACAGTAATGCCGGTGATATGTGCCAAAATATCCGAAACCAAGCCCTCAAGGGAGGAGAGCAAATCAAAGCCGGGTACACAGCAGTCGGTGGCCCCGAGAGTTGTTCCAATTGACTGGATAGCAGTGAGCTGTCCATGCTGCTGACCGCTTCCCGATTATACTGGACTGCCCGCACATGCAGACGCCTTTATTCACAGCTAGACTAGAGCGCTACCTACCTACCTGACCTAATTACTGTTCAGGTCAGAGGCAGCTGATAATGTCCAAGGCCTTGAAAGATCCAAAAGAAGCAAGGGACAGGATGTGGAACGTTGCACAAAAGACCAGGAGCAAGGGACGAACAAAGACGAAGCCTTGGCGACGGGACATTTATTATACTAGGGGATCAATCTAAAAGGGAAGTTCGGCAGTGAAGGTCCCAGGTACTACCTACGGGCTAGCGATGGGTGGCATTTATCAATCACCAAAAACGTATAGACAGGTACCTACTTATGTACTGATCCAGGCACAGGCACAGGCACAGGCACAGGCACAGGCACACTTCATGTTTAGTGGGGAATGGGTCCAATACAGGTAATTCATCTAGCCCAGTCTTTGATGGATGAATGGATGATGGATGTTACCTAGTGGTATGGACGGGTACAATATGAGATGAGAGACTTTCATGCTAATGTTACTGGCTAGACGACACCTCATTAGTCCAAGAGCCAACCAGTGATATCAAATCCTATTAGATCAGGCGTTGCGCGTCCTGATTGCGTCCATACATCCATACGTGTGCTTACATTAATTACCTCCATGCTAGGGTACTAAGATAGTAGGTAGTGTCGTGCATCCTTACGAGGCTGAAACGAGCTACCGCACAAGAAAAAAAGAAGAAGAAAAAGAAATCCAACTCTATGACCGCCTACCACACATGGTAATAATTCTGAGGGGTCATCAACCCAACAATAATTAACACAGTCAAAGGCTAGCAACTGTGGATGCAGATGACATCTTATAGGTTCTAAGCAGAAGATAGGGAACGTTGAGGCCCTTCTACCCCGCTGTAACGAATTGGGCGTCAACCTAGAGGTTACTATGGATTCCATCTTCAATGCCTACAAAGTTTGATTCGTTTCTCCAATTTCGTCTCTTTCAGCCATGGAAAAGGTTGGGCAACTTGGGTTGTGGCCAGGATCTCAAGTACCTGACAGCATGGAGGGTCTAGATGCGCCTAAAAGCCAAGAAACAGCAAGGGACGGAATATCTTTATTTATGGATGCAACCTCGATATGAAACCGAGCTGAGAGAAACCATGTATCTTTCATCTACTTGATACTAGACGGTCGAGTCTCGAACGGAATAATATTTGTAGTCTAGGGTCTATTCACACTCATCTAGTTTATACTACCTACCGGAGGTATAAGTGAGATATCCAGAACATTGTAACACAGCTTATAGCCCAGTTTAATATCATGGATCTCACTTCCGGGTTAAACTCTGTGCCTGTATGAGCGACATAAGTGGCGTTTAGATTAGACCTGTAGTAGGCTACATTAGGGACAAGTCTACAGTACATACTCAGGTACCTAGGTAGCTCTGGCGTCTTTCTTAATTCATCATTGATAGGTTAGTACCGGGCTGGTAGTACCTAAGCAGCTACTTCTGTATCCAACTACGAAGGTAATAAAGTGCTGTTGTCGAAGCAACGCCTCAATCAGAAAAGAAGCCTTCCCATTATATTCGACAAGTTATACAGCCTGTTATGAACATCTGTACCTCCAGATACAACCATGTATACACAACCGCCAAGGTATTAAGCGCGTGTAGCCGACGTCTTTCACGAGATGAACCTGATGGAGCATTATCAATGGAGATGAATGATTAAGGTTCTCGGTGTAATATGAGGCCTCACACAATCAATCCACTTCATTTACAGCAATGGATATAAACTGCATGTGTTCAAACTCATGACACATGCTTACGCTTGCTTTTAGGTACCTATTACGTTGTTGTTAATGATCCGATATATTCCAACCAATTCACGCTGAGAGCGCTGGCCATCGACCGGTTGCTTCCGGACATAGAGCGTAGCCAAGATATAACAAGCACCTAACCCATGTAGGGACCCCCCTGCCATTCAGGAACATAAGGGAACTTACGTGTTAATATGAAACGTAGTGCAATGGATCAATCTTCGTCTCATGTGTTGCTAATGATATCATCCTCAGCCTTATCCGAGGCCCAAGATCGAGATGGCTTTCAGAGTGGTCTTACTCCGCTGCTATCCATTCACCTGAAAGATTGGTCTGTAAATATTGAAGAGACCTTCCATGCTCTGGCGGGAAAGCTTCTTGAACACAATTACTCACAATAATTGATCATATCGGGGCCTGCACGCAGAAGATGTACGTCATAACTATTCAGTACATATTAATCTATCTGTAGCATCGATCGTTGATGCTTCCTGTTCTCATGCCGAACATAAGTTGTTGACAAATTCGATGATTTCCCTATCGAACCTTTCTGGTTCTTCGTAAAATAGCCAATGTCCGGATTCGAATATCGACGACCTTGCAAGCCCTGGCCTCGAGGTTTCGATCCGCTTCACAGTCTCCAGCATTCCTTCGAGTGGGAAGCAGCTTGATCGTCGACCAGCCATAACCAGTGTGGGAACTGTGATTGTTTCTATCGCCTCTCGATGGTCGAAGCGAGTATGGTCCGCGAGCAGGCGCGCCAACCAGCTTTGATCGCATCGGGCACTGATCTCTGTGAAGAACGATTCATCCTTCACCAGTTGCTCTGCCGAAACCCTATCCTCTCCTCTCGGGGCATGTCGGTAGCCTAGGCAACCTATTGTTAGGTCTAAATGTGCCGCCTTGGTATCGTGAATCCAGGCATGTTGCGCTGAGAGCAGCGTCTTTTCGTCATGGCATCCTGTGTGGGATTTGGATTCATCCCATCCATCAAACGCCGACCGATCTTGTAGGGGTGCTTGATCAACGAAGACAAACCCAGCAAAATCGTTACATCCAAACAATTCGATGTATGTCCATAGAACGGCAGCACCAATAGAACATCCAATGGGGACGAGGCTAATGTTGGGTGTCGACTTGCGGATATGAGCGACGAGCTCGGCGAGATCAACTGCCAAGCGAGCAACATGGTAACCTCCACGGGTTCGGTCAGAATCTCCATGGCCACGCATATCAGGAGCTATAACCCAGAGGTTGTCGCTTAAAGTCGTAAAGTTGCGGACGAAGTAGTCGCTGGAACCGCTGAAGCCATGCATGAGCACTACACATCTCTTGGGCTCAGCTTCCACTGCATCGACCAGTGGTATAGACGTTTGGAAGGCAATCTTGCAGCCATCGTTGGTGGTGAAAAATTCTCTATGCATCTTTCCGATTGTGCCGGACGTCTTGATTCGCGCACTTTCTCTCTCCTGCAACGAGTTGGTGATGTTGAAAAGGCGACGAGTGAAGTCCTACGTGCTGTGGGGTGTCCCACACTAAGATTCCACGTTGATATCCAGGCAGTCGTTGATATGAACCTCCAGCTATATATTCTTCCAACTTATCAACCTATTAAAGGCGATACTTTTCTTAATATACTGTACTGATCCCTACAACGTTCATCTATTTGAGTGATTGCAAGAGAGGCCTCGATAAAAATGCCTATGATAATTGACAATGCTGAACAGCAAGATACAATCATCATGCAATGAAGAGAATAAAGGTTATACTAGTCAAAATCATATTGTCAAAGGACTCTTCAAAAGCCACTACAGCATCAGTAATTACTGAAACGAAATGTTTACAAGTTCAATTGCGTTGCTCAAGGGTAGGTAGGTAATCGAGTTGGCCTGGCCAGGCAACAATTAATCGCTTACGTAAAGACCCGCTAGTCAGAAAATCTCTACATCAACCGAGACTCTCTCATCAAATTCATACATTCTCCGACAACATGACACAAGCCGGAACAGACCACGAAACGCCCAAGCTTATTGTTGATGCCCATGTGAAGTACATCCAGAGCTTGGATACGAGGAAAGATGAGCTAGACTACTGGCTCACCGAGCACTTGCGACTCAATGGCCTGTACTGGGGACTAAATGCTCTCTACTTGCTTCGCCGACCAGATGCTCTCCCACGACAAGATGTTATCGATTTCATCCTCTCTTGTCAGCATGAAAACGGTGGATTTGGTGCTGCACCAGGTCATGACGCTCACATGCTCTCCACAGTAAGTGCTGTGCAGATTCTCGCCATGACGGATGCTTTCGACCAGTTGGAAACCAAAGGCAAGGGCAAAAACCAGGTTGGCAAGTGTAGGTGTTTTTGAAGGACCCGCAGTGCTTCCGATGCACCAACTGACTAGATATAGTCATCGCAGGGCTGCAAAACCGGGAGAATGGCACATTTGCTGGAGATGAATGGGGCGAGGAAGATACTCGCTTTCTATACGGCGCTTTCAATGCTCTCTCCCTGCTCGGCCTCATGTCTCTAGTTGATGTTGATAAGGCCGTCTCTCACATCACTGCTTGCGCCAATTTTGACGGCGGCTATGGAACTGGTCCCGGTGCGGAGTCGCATTCAGGCCAAATTTTCACCTGTGTCGCAGCGCTTGCAATTGTCGATCGCCTGGATCTTGTGGACAAAGAGAAACTCGGCCGATGGTTGAGCGAGAGACAAGTTCCTTGCGGCGGTCTTAACGGTCGCCCTGAAAAAGACGAAGACGTTTGCTACAGCTGGTGGGTGTTGAGTAGTCTTGCTATAATCGAGCGCACCCACTGGATTGACCGCGATGCGTTGGCCACCTTCATTTTGAAATGTCAAGACACTGAGATGGGCGGAATCTCTGATCGGCCTGGTAATATGGTCGATGTTTGGCATACCCAGTTCGGGCTGTGCGGCCTGAGCCTTCTGGGTTATCCGGATCTCGAGGCAGTCGATCCAGTGTACTGTATGCCAAAGACCATAACAAAAAGACTTATCGGTTGATTGCTACATTTCCATATAATATGTCTTTTAGCTTTATGCACTGGTGCTAGCCACCACCCCTCTGGCCATTCTTAGCACATGCTTACGACATTGTTCAGTGATAGCATGTGTATATGGTTGAGGGAAGAGGAACTGTTGGTTTTTTCAGGGACATCGCTTGTTACCCCGTGGTGTTCGTCCCGTGAAGTCCTTCAGACATTCATATCATATGTTAGTGAGGTACGCATGATATCTTTTAATACTACGCAACGACAAGTTCGGAACACTCGTCAGGTTGTTCCACCATAGTCAATTAATGCCATCCTGACATAAATTCTTGATGCCCAGTCACTTTAAATGAACCTTGAGACGATGTATCGAATCTCCCAGTGTACCATAAAAGCATTTCATACGGCGCCCCCTTTCCTTCACAAGTTTTCTGCGTGAGGATACTTAGGACCTACCAATATATGTAGAGAGGCAACTTCTTTTTTGTAAAGACAAACAACTCAGCATCCGTGCATAGGTATCTATTAGGCACCAAGGTAAGTAGGTGATTTTCTTGTCATATACTGACGTGCGGAGGGTGTCGATGCTGTAATGATTGCTGAGTGTTATCTCGTCATCTCTTTTCCACAATCACCGACCACTTCTAGGTAAGGAAGACACACTGTCCACCTTCCTCCACTTTCATATCAAGTTGCACCAAAGCATCTACTGACTTATTCACTCTCTCGGTATATGTATTGGTCGTTTCGTATCGATATAAAGCAATTGGTGTCGATATTCAAGAAACGCACCTGCCAAAGTGTGCTGCCTTGAAGCCTCTGAGGTTGTTGGTGGTGCCTGCCTGATTCTGCTGGCTCTTCCTTCCGGACGCTGGGCCTGGCGAACAACCCCTCCTTCCCCCTCATTATTTAAATTTACCCCAGACTTCTGGTCTTTCCTTCATCTGAAACTCCCGTCCCCTTCGCCTCTGCGCGTTCCGAGGCTATCATCTCAGAACAACCCGAGCAGCTGCTCCTTCTACCAGCTCCCTTCTAGTTCTTGGCGGAGATTCCTGCAATACAACGTCAGACTGTATTGGACTGCATCGTCGCATGCATGGTGCCTTCCATTGATGGGACACATTCGAGGGATTTGTCGTCCTTCAACTATCACGGTCAGGAGCTCTCATTTCCGTGGTAAGTTAGCTCGAACCCTTTCTCTACAATCCGGGCAAGCGCCATCATGGTCATTCTAGCATACCCACTGTGTCATGAGCGGAGAGTCTGGAAAAAGAAATAGGCAAGACCCAGGAAGATTTATCTGAATACAGTGCTGACCTTGATTTGTCTAGATCATTGTTGTAGCTACCTAGGTATCCGGGATATTTCAAGCCACTTCCTACAGGGACCAGTCTCACGCCTGAAGTCTCAGGATATCCAATTAACGACACTGGACCCGACTGTGAAGCAGCACTGTGTCTGCAGTCGAAGGTCATAGCAGACTGCGCTTTGTCCAGGATCTATATCGAAAGTCTCAAGCAGCAAATTGGTTCTAAACCCACCGACGTGGAAGATATGAGCAACTTGTGAGCTTCTCTAAGAATTGGACCATAAAACGATCGAGGCTTCCTGTAGCCAACATCTCGGCTACCAACTTCAATCGCTGCCTGCTTGTCACTTGGTTGTTTCTCACGATACATATTCTGGGACAGCTTTGACAGTAAACAAGCAGGTAGGAGGAAAGACCTACCAACAGTTCCAAGGGAAAGCAGCCATGGGGCGAGGCAAGAAGCATAAGAAATCTGGCTCGGTAGGTACCTTCCATTTCACAATGATTCCATGTGTTGGACTCCCTCACTTCTTCTACTCTGAGACTCATATTTACCTGCACACAACCTGCTCTTTTTGATCCCAACTGTGCGTCTACCTCGGACTTGGTTCTTTGGACTTACCATTTACCTCCTACCTACCCACTGTCATCCCACTTGACTTGCTTATCAGCCCTTTCCTGTTCGTCTGTGGCGAGAGAAGAACGACAAGCTTGCCATCGGCCACGCAACTCGAAAGTTTGTTACAGTACATACTTAACGAAACCAAACCCCCAGTCTTTGCTGATCCAGAAGTTGCTAACCGGTGCACTCGGGTTTCAGGTCATGGCACCCCCAACGCTGTCAGGAAATGACTCGGCAACGTCTATCAGTCGACAAATTCCACTATCTTGTTTCGTTTGTCCCGAGACCCCCCGATTCTCAGACGTATCACACCTGCTTACGCATATTGCCTCCAAAGGCCACCTTCATCATGAGACTCAGACGAAGCTCAAGGCTCATCAAGACATTACCGCTGCGGTAAAACTTCAACGTTACGAGGACTAGTATTCCCAGAACGGCATTGAGGGACTTCTAGTTGAGCGAATGAGAGTGAAGCAGTTGAAGGAGGAAGCTCGTGTCAGACGCAATCGGGAACACCAATCTGTACCTCCAGACAAGGTCATACTGTTTCGCCAACCTTCGAAGAGACTAGTACTGACAATCTGTAGCTAAGCAAGCGGAAGATCAAACATGAGATGTCGATGAGTCCCGCTATCAAGCTCGAAGGGGATGAATTCATGGATGATTTCCCACTTTTCCCAGGATTCCTCGACCCAGAACCAAATTACATTGTTCAGGATGAATTCGTTCTGGGGAACGACTCAATGTCATTGAAAGGCCAAGTGTGGCCTGGGATGGGAAAGATGGATCTTGCCGACGATATCACGAGGAGAGCTCGAAACCAAAAGAAGCCCAAGTCCGTCATCGATAAAATGAAGAAGGTATCTGAATGCATCGAGCCTACCCAGGTTATAATGAGCTCCAAGTTCGAGGTGGAAAGGACGAAGGATGTCTACGACGATACCTCATCCCCTGCTCCTGGCCAGGAAGAACCGGTGCGTGCAATTAAACACAGAATTTCACATGCTAACTTCATCAGACACCACCGAGAAAGGTCCAGAAGCCGAAGCGAAAGAAGTCAACACCTCTTGCTGAAATATCTGGAAACGTTCCGAAACAGCGGCGAAGAAATGCCCGTGGACAAAAGTCTAACGTTGGAAAGAGGATGGGCTTCAAGAAAGAACAGGATCCTCAGGAGGAGCTCGAAATATCCATTCCACCAAAAGAAGCCAGAGAAATCAAAGACATATTCCGTAACGATGTTACTCGAACAAGTAGGTCTCTCATGGAGGAAAAGTGATTCCTGCTAACTCTCTGTATAGCTTCTATCAGTGAACCTCCACGTTCCTTGAGCCATGGCGATCACAGGTAATACTTCAAAGAGCTTATGGATATTGCCATTGACATGAAAACCAGATTAGAGCCTCGCAATAAACACGGAGCCCGCAACATGAATAGTTTCCATCACTCGAACCTTGTATCCCCGACGCCGCATGCCAGAGATTTGGCATCTCGCCACCCTCAAGCCAGGGCGACACCTAGCACAGTCCGACCTGAGCCTTTCCCCCCAGGTATGTTAACTCGACGACCAGAACTTGTAGTCTATGCAAAAGTGTTATGTATCCCATGTGCGCTTACACAAATTTAGGATCTTTCAGCCACGCCGAAGCCTCGTATGCAATGAAAGACGCTACAATCTACAATGCTTCATCAAGACTCCCATTTCTGCCTACAAGCTACAGTCAATTTCGAGACGCAGGCCCAGACCATTTGCGTCCAGCAGCAAACTATGGTTTTCAGTTGAAGGAGGAGGATTATGCTACACCACACCCTGGAGAGCTAGCCCAGGGGACAAACAGCCAATTCATCGGCATGTCTGGAACGAACCCTCTTTTCTCGACCGACCGGTCTTTCCTGAGTTCCTATGGTCAAGGGGTCCTGAACACAACTTTCTCACCACTGCCGTTCTCTTCTATCAACCGACAGCAGGACCTTCCACACACTAGCCGGGAAACGAAGCAACAAACGCATATGTGTGAAGTCATGGAGGCTAGCGGCCTTGGTGAAGAACAGGAATTGAACCTCGACGGCCCATGGGGCATCAATGGTGCTAACAGCGACTTGAGCTTTCCTCACGGATTAACGGTAGACAACCCACAGATCTGACCGAGAGACTTGACAATTTCCCCGACTCGTATATGATAGTTTACTCTACACACTGACAGTACACATATGGTCGAGTCACTACGCGGACACAAGTATTGCATCCGAATGTATCACCACATCAACGAGCACCCTGATGCGCTGACACCTGATCTCAGGAACAGTCGGTCAGCCATTCGTTGTAGGAAACTTCTCATCACTGCCTTTACCCTCAGTACTAGTTGGCTGATTATCTAGCAGGATTCACATCGCGCCAACATCATATGCAGCTCCCGCCCGAACACCAACGATTAACGATTTTGGCATTCTATTCCTCTTTTGAAAGTTTATGATACACGAAGCAGCAATGGGCAGAAAAACAATTAGGAGTTTCGTTGAACCTGGGATAAGGTGCAACGGCGCTCTATGGACCCGGGAATTTTGAGACTTAGCGGGATATAAGATGGTGATACGAAGAACAACTAGGGATACTTTGGCGTCGGGCAGATGGGCATATCATTTGACATTGGTGTTATGGGATGTGAACGCAAAGACATTTTAGCATTTTATGAGAAGTTACTCATTTCAAGATTAGTTCAGCTTTCCTACTGCCCCCTCAATAGTGAATATTACAATGGTAGTATAAGGTACATCATAGTTGCTCGATACTTGATACCAGTTGATCGAGATGGTCGGATCCATTGTCCATTACTTCTGACAGGGCACGACAGACACCTTTTAAGCGCCGCATCTTCATCTCTTGCTCAATTTGACTCGACTTCAGAGCAGCAACGTCAATGACTTTCTTTGGAATGCGTGCGAGTCTTGCGACATTCAGGCCGTATGAGCGATGAGCAACGCCTTCGCCGACTTCATACAAGAACGTGACCTCTTCCTCGCCGTCCTCACCCTTTTCTGCTTTGAATTTCATATGAACATTCTTGACGCCATCGAGACCTTCAGCGACCCGCGCTAGGTTTTGATAATGTGTAATGAAAAGCGTTAGGCACCGTGTCTCAGTAACAACATGCTGTAGCACGGCTTGGGCAATCGCGGCGCCGTCGTGAGTGCTAGTGCCACGACCCAACTCATCGAGGATGACAAGACTTCGGGGTCCAGCAGAGCGTAGGATACGCGCTGTCTCAGAGACCTCAACCATGAATGTAGATTCTCCAGCAAAAAGATTATCGCGAGCGCCCGTCCGTGTGTGAATAGCGTCGCAAAGGGTCAGGGACAAAGAGTCTGCCGGAACATATGAACCGACTTGTGAAAGAAGAACGATGAGTGCGAGAGCGCGGACGAAAGAGGATTTACCGCCCATGTTGGGGCCGGTAATAAGGTGTGCAAGAGGTGAGGGGTGGGCGAGGGTGGTGGAAAAGGGAATATAGCCCCCTTCAAGAGTATGCTCTGCGATAGCATGGCGGCCATTCGTGATAGAAATAGTTGGGTCGGTGGAGGATGGCAGGAAAGATGGCCGAGAATAGCCTGGTTGGGCAGCAACCTTGGAGAGAGAAAGGATGCAGTCGAGTGTTGCGAGAGCGGATACTGCATCGCGAAGGGGTTGATAGTCTGATGCGATGGAAGCGAGCAGATCTTTGAAAGCTTTATCACATGCTGCAGCCAGAGCCTCGCGATGCTGGTCGCGTTCGGTAATGAAACGGAGAACTTCAGGGGTATGGAAACGCGAGACCTTCTTTGTACCAGAGATCTTGGCCCACGAAGCAGGAACATGTTTGATGTCGGCATTAGGAACCTCGATGAGATATTCAATGCCAGCAACCGTAACGTAGTCAACTGTCTTCTTCTTGATCTTCTCGGCGGCAACAGTGCGATGGCCATCTAGTTCGTGTTCAACGTGAGCAATACCTAGCTGATGGTCTTGCATATCCTCCGTCTGAAACTCATCGCGAAAGAAGCCGTACTTGTCATCCTTGCGTGCAGCGACTAGGTTGATGCGCTCGAGGTAGGATACGACAGTGTCAAGGATTTGTGGCAGGGCACAGATAGCGTCGCCGAGAAGAGGGGACTTGAAGGGGACATCGGATGGGCCTTTGACCGCCGAGTAATAGCTCGCCACCCTTTGTAAAGCTTGTAGAACAGAGAGGAGTTCAGGGCGAGTGCATTTGCCATAATAAATGCGAATCAAACTGCGTTCAAGGTCGGTCCTGGTGTTTGCCAAAAGAGACTCAAGTTGGGACACGGGAGTAGTTGATTGCTTGTCGAGAAGCTCTTCAACAGCGTTGAGACGAGCCTCAAGAAGTTCCTGGTCAAGTAATGGACGTCCTACCCATTTGCGAAGCAGGCGGTGGCCTGGACGAGTGAGAGTTTTGTCGAGAGCCCAGAACAGACTGCCTTTTTCGGCATGGTCCGTAGAGTTCCGGTAGACTTCGAGACTCTCGAGTGTAGTACCATTGATGAGCATATGTGACCTGGTGCTAAAGCTCTGGAAATATTTGGTCAGGTCAAAAATGTGTTCAAGGCCGTACTCTTGGAGGTGATTGATCATGGCCGAGAGACAGATAGTAACAGGCTCAGGCAGCTTCAAGACCTTGTCGAGAAGAGCGGCAGCAGTCTCGTCTTGTACATTATCTTTGAGCTTGTCGGCATAGAATTGAGTGACATGAGAGTAAGCTTCGGCTGCCATGGTCTTACCCTTGGGTATGCGCTCGACTCGACTCCGGTCGCCGAAGACATTGGTACTGCTGCCTGATAGATGTTGCACAAGTTTGTCGGTGCCCTTGGTCAGATCCCCCACGATCAAGAATTCGCAAGGGGAAATGTGTAATAGCCGAGTCTCGATCTCGCTCCGCATAAATCCGTCCTCAAAATGATCGTATATGATGTCTCCGGTGGCAGGTTGCACAGCAATTATGCCAACATCGACCTTCTCATCAGTACCCGACCCCTTAGCTTTTGACTCTGTGATGCACAACAAGTAACCGCCAGAAGGCGCTCCAGAGCCACCGCTTTGATCTAGTTCGCCGTTCTCATCGATGTATGTCCCTTTGGTGTATAAGTTGGTAAGTTTGCGGACGAAGGGCGTATTGCGATTATCACCAGCCTTCTTCAGTGCGGCGGTCTCAATCTGACGAACGACACCAACCTTGTGTCCAGCAGCTACTAGACGCTTTGCATGCACAGGAAGACGATGAACTGGAATACTTGCCGAAGCAAAGCGATCGATATGCGCTTCCGAAGGGTCTGCGCAAGGTTAGAAACCCATTCTGTCTATATTTTAGATCAACAAGACTTACGCTCATCATAACGCATTTTACCGGGAATGCAGACGATGCTCAATTCTTTGGCTGCAATGCGTGCATCTTCACCGAAGAACCGAAACTTGTAGCCAACTTCGACAATGAGAACAGTGTCCATGTGCTTTCTTTTGATCTCAAGGAACTGAAGCTCCATGGGGGTAAGTTTGCCTGTTTTGGATCCCTTCTTCTTTGTCTTTGCTGGCGCTGGCGCCTCCTCTTCAGCTCCATCGGCATCAGCATCAGCATCTTCTTCTTCACCCACCGGCGCTGCTTCCTGAATATTGCGACGCCATGCTAGTGCGTCTGGGTGGCCGAGTTTCTTGACAAATTTCCGGTGTAGTTCTTGGTTCAGTCGCCTCTCTTCTGCATCCTCATTATCGTTTTGGGTCGATGTAGCATTCACGTCGCCATCCTGGGTATTCTGTACGCTCGATCCGGCATATCGATATCGTTCCGTACGTGCTCCCACGTTTCCTTGTTCGTCGGCTTTTGATTTAGAGAAGAAAGTGCTGGTTTCCGAGTCCTTAGCAGCGTTTTCGGCTCTGACTTTCTTCAATGCCTTTTCTGGCTCCTCGTTTTCCTTTTCTGTGTCTTCTATTGCTCGTTTTCGAGATGGCGACTCGGCATCGTTGCTGGGTGATTGTGATTTGGCTGCTTGTGCGCGGCTCTGCTTTTCGAAGATTGCGGCTAGCCCGTTGACTGTCTTTGGTGCGAAGAAGGATGTAAGAGATTGCTGCTTCTTCTTCTCGGTTGATTTTGGAGTGGGAGCCATAGTGCGAGTTGGGCCCAACGAATGTTGATGGAGATCTCAGTAGCCAAGAATACTCACTCTTGATAATCCTTAGTTTGGGGCCATTGAAATTAGAGGTGGTGACGTTGGAGAAACGCGTCTTGGTTGACGTAGACGCGTTGAGTGGCTGATAGACAGACCCACTTAAATTTGGTCCCTAGGTGTACCTACTGCCGTCATTGAATTTGAGATTCTGACAACCTTGTTATACGATGATACTGTACTTGCTCTAAGTTTCGATGCAATAATGGCTTAGGGATGAAGTCATGTAAGAAGCATGTTCATGGATGGTTTAAAGATGAAAGCTCACCGATAGGTCCTCGATAGTGTTGCTATCGTGACACTGGAAATGGCTTTTGAAAAGCTACTATACCTTTGCACCTATGGATAATCTATTGTCAGTCAAACTACCTCTCCAATCCCTACCAGGTACTGTATAGGTAGGTAGGTATGATTGATCGTATCGCCCATCTACCACATACGTACTGCGTATCCATCTCGGCTACCAAAGCCAACAGGACAGGGGGCATTGATTTATTAGTGAATTCTGTTTACTTGCTGTCACAGAATTCCATGCTATATCTCCTGAAGATAAAGCTTTTTAGTGGTGGCATCTATGTCTTGGCTTCAGTGATGGGCGCTTGCATCGAGGCTATGGTGCTACCCATGATGAGATCTGGAGCTCTCATGATCCATGATTTTATCCCGAAAGCCCCACTCTCCCCGTTGTTCAGTGGCTCCCAACCCTGAAAGGGACCTCCCGAGGCCCGTTTTTGATGGCTTCCAAGCTTTAGCTCAAGCTCATGGGCGCTTACAGGTCTTGCAAAAGAGCCAATCAGAGTCTATATGTCGTATCGGTGTCCCTAAGTACAGGTTCAGGTCCAGGTCTTTCTTTATTTCGATCCATTATCGAGGTAGAGTGACGAATCTCGATGCCCCTGAAGCGATTTAATAATTTCATTCGTTTTGGTCGAGCTCAGCGGTTAAATGGTCTCTCCTGAATGGAAGCATGAAAGCTGCTGTGGTATGGAATGGGAGCCATGATAACAGAATACCTATCTCGAACGCCAGTTTATACCTTGGATCAAGTATATTCGTAATATCGACTTTCATGTCAAGCCTGTAATCCTTTTCGTTTTCCTTAAGATACTGTTTCAAATTACGATTTTAGTGACTCTTGATGTTTGGTCTCATGAATGCCACGCTGCTAGGTCGGTAGGTACCTAACCAAACAAGCTGTCGCCTATGGGTATGGATATGTGATGATTGGGAGGCGGAAGTCACGGCGCTTCAGCAGGAGATAGACCCAGACCCTCTTACATAGGTAGGTACCTAGGTAGGCACAGTCTTGGCCCTCCTTACACTCCCCTCTCCCCCCTCTCCTTTTGCCTTGAGTTTTTACATATTTTCCTCTTTCTCATAGCGTTTCGTGACCTTGTTTCTTTCTAGGCCATTTATCATCTTGTTCCTGACGCGGCCGTTTCTGCGACCTACTGGAGCCCCTCAGGAACAGGCAAGGTGCAAGCCAGCCCACGTCACTTCAGCCGCCGCAGCCCAAAACCCCGCTCAACCAGCAAGACAAGATAGCCCAGGCCTGACCTCAGACGAAGCCAGTTCTTCACATAAGCTGGTTATACGTCTTGCTTAAGAAGAGGCCCGAAACTCCGACCTCAACTCATCTTTGTCCTGAAGGGCCTTACAGCGTCTGTCTTGTCCAGTCCAAGCGCTTGACCCCGCCATCGTTGGACAGCTTCCACATTGCATATTGTCGCATATCTTGCGTCCACCTCTATCGCCTGTTGCAAGCGCCAAAACAACTCAAAATGGAGCGTAGCCGTGGCGTTCCAGACGAGGAGATGTTCCTCAATAAGCCTGCTCCCGAAGACTGCGACAGCCCGACCGTTGAACCTCTGCGCATCTTCAAGCCGCAGAGCCCTCAACCCGCCAAGGACGGTAGATCGTCCGCCTTCAGATATCCGGCGCCCCCATCGTCTACTTCTCCTGCTTCCAAGCATTCGTTTCCTTTGCCTCCTGGCGCCTCCAGCTCTGCGGCACCATTGCCGTTCCCCGACGACGACGACGTCCGCAAACCCACTCCCGCGAAGCCATTCGGCTCTGCCTACAATGATACTGGTCCCAGATTAGAAACAAGCCCTCCTGGGAAGAAGCCTGGTCTCGCAGAACGGAGAGGAGCTGCCCCAAAGCCCATCAGCTCCCCTACAAGTCCTGACGGAGATCACGACCTATTCCAACGCCCCTTGGCTGATAACCACCGGCCAGGCTCATCTAATGCGAATCCTCATAATTATCAAAAAACATACTACCCGCCACCAGGTGCTGCATCTAGCTCCTCGAGTAATGTACCTACAAATCTCGCCTCTACCCAGCAACATAAGATGGCCGACCAGGGCGTAAATCGCTTTGCTTCAACTGCTTCGACATCTACAACTCGTGCTAGCCGTGGCTCTCCTCCACCTCCCGAGACCCCAATCGTGGAGCCTGGACAAGCACCGGCCGATGCTATTGAGGCCCGCTATGCAGCATCCGGTATCTCTGGCACCGCTACACTCAACAGCCTGGGCGCACCTAGCGCTGCTGCTTCACAAAGACTTGCGCAATACGGGAACCAACCGCCCCCTCAACGACCTTGGACGCCGACTGAAACTCCTGACCAGGCACCATCAGGTCCACCTACCGTGTACCAGGGTATGAATGCTATTTCAAGTCCAGCTCAGACGCAGCAATCGTTCAGCCCCCCTCCCCAGCCCGAGCAGCAACAACAACAGCAAAAACCACAAGGACAGGGACAGGGACAAGGACAAGGCCAAGCGCAAGTCAGTGTGTTGGAACAAGACTTCCAGCGGATGAACACCAACTCTCCGCCTCCTGCTTACTCAAGCCTCAATCCCGGTGGCAACTCATCCTATCCCAATGAAAAACAAAGACCTCAGCAAGCTGGATCAAGCTCTTCTTCTGCACAACCTCATCAGCAGGCGGCGGCATCGACACCCCCTACGAAAACCACCGTTGTTGCAGCGGGCTCGACTGCAACGGGTGGTCTTGCATCTCCCGCTTTGCAACATCCAGGCCATCCCGCATTTGCTAATGACCCCCACCCTGCGTTCGCCAACGAATCTCATCCTGAGCAGAATGGACAGAGCTCTCAGCAAGTTGTTGCTCCCGCCCAGAGCTTCGAGACTCAGAACCCAGCCTCCCCTCCGCCCTTGCCTGAGGGATGGATTGCTCACCTGGACCAGAATTCGGGACAGTACTACTATATCCACTTGGCTAGTCAGGCAACACAATGGGAGTTCCCTAAGGGTCCCAATCCCATATCGCACGAACCAGCCCCTCTCTCACCAACAGCCTCAACGTATGGGAACCCTTTGGCTTCACCCATGTTCGGCAAGCAGTCTATAGCCTCGCCCATGTTTCCACCGCATACCCCTGGCTATGCCGAGAGTATCATGAGCGTGGCTGCTTCGGCGACACCTACGGCAGCGGGATTTACAGGACCGCCACCAAGCGCTGGTGTGGATATGTACAGAATTCAACCCACAAACGGCGTCTACTTCGGCCCTTATCTGCGATACGTCAACATGGACATCGAGAAAGGTCTCTGGCTTGGTAGTATCCTGATCGTGACAGACGCTCCTCAACCGCCTACAATTCATATCCATCTGAGCCATGATCTAGCACCGAACCCTCGCCAAGCCGAACCTCGACCTATTGCTACACACCAGAGGTGGAAGTTCTACAAATATGACCTAGAGCTGCCTATGTCGGAAGCTGGTACCGAACGCTGGACGTACGCAGTCACTTCGCATCTTGGTTGTACCAGATATGAGTTCGTTGTTGCTGGGCGGCAAGAGACTAGCTGGCGCTTTATTGCACACTCTGGTAACGACTTCGCAGCGGGAACCTCGCAAAATGAGCGTGCCAAGCTTGGTGGAGTCGGCTTCATGTGGAAGGATGTTCTTCAGAAGAACGTTGACTGCGGTGGTTTCCACGTTCAATTGGGTTTGGGAGATCAGATCTATGGTGACCGCTTGTGGAAAGAAGTTCCACTCCTCAAGCAGTGGCTTGCGATGAGCGGACGCGACAACAAGAAAAACGTTCAGTGGACAGCGCGGCACGAGGAAGATGTTGCGCATGCTTATTTCCATTACTACACGAGTCACTTCGACCAGCCGTTCCTTAGAGAGGCCTTTGCTCAGATCCCCCACGTCCTGCAGATTGACGACCATGACATGTGAGTAATCTTCACGATGTTAAAATATCAACATTCACTGACAGACAACAGCTTTGATGGGTACGGTTCATACCCGGACTATATGCAGTCCTCGCCTATGTTCAAGAACATTGGTAGAATCGCGACTGATATGTACCTTCTGTTCCAACATCACACGACTGTCGAGATGCTACGCAATGTCAGCACTGACCATGATATCTTTACCATCACCGGCACCGGCTGGCATTTTGTCAAGTACTTGGGCCCGGCCGTGGTAGTTGTGGGCCCCGATTGCCGATCTGAACGCACCCAAGCTCGAGTGATGGCAGGTCCGACATATCAAGGAATCTTCCCTAAAGTTGCTACACTGCCTCCTAGTGTGCAGCACTGCATATGGATGGTCTCGGTGCCGCTTGTATACCCTCGATTGGATACCGTGGAAAGTCTCGCTAACACCATGGCTGCTGGAAAGAAGGCTGTCAATACCACTTACAATATATTGGGCAAAGTCACAAGCTCGGTTGCAGGTGTGGTTGGAGGGAAGGATGTAGTGGCACAGGGGTTCTCACAAGTCAAGAAGGCAGTGGGAAAGACTGGTCTTATGGGCAACGTCCTAAACCAGTTCGGTGAACTTGATATTCAGGAAGTTCTCAAGGATATGTGGACTCATGATACCAAGGATCTCGAGAGAACATATTTGATTCGAACCCTCCAGGGCATAGCGCAACAGAAGGGAATCCGAATGACATTCCTTTCTGGAGGTATGTTGAAAAGACTTTGCTCATGACAGTCACTTAACTGACACCATAACAGACGTTAATGCCTCAGGTGCTGGTCTTGTTCACGACCCGACGCATCCCGGCGACCACAAGACGATGTATCAGATCATCTCATCACCTATCGTGGCGGCGCCCCAGAGTAATTATGTTCTCAAGATGCTCCACAATCAGAAGACACTATACGTGCCTCAGAACGGCAAGAAATCGACTCACGAAGTATCTGACACAAAAGAAGACATGATGGAGATCTTTCACTCCGATGCCAGCGGTGCTGCGCGAGAACTCAAGAAGCTCATGGGTCGCCGTAACTACGTTGCATTCGTCTCATATGACCAAGACGCCGCCGCGGCTGTGCCCCAGACGCCTTTCAGCCCTAATCCAAGCCTCAATGGCTCACAGCAGGGTTTGTCCAAGGTCAGCTTGGCTGTCGACTTTGTTGTGCAAGGCGACGGCGCGTTCACAGCACCTACAAAATACGGCCCTGTTATCATCCCTCATTTGGAATATGGTCGATGAAGCAGTTAACAAATATGAAACTTGCATACGGCCAACGGGCAGTTCTACAACGGCATCTGTTCCTTATCTGCTTTTGCACATATAACATTTCTACGATATCATGCAGATCTATACATCGGAGATACCTTTTTGATTATGATTTATTTTGACAAATTTTAGCCTTATCAATAACAATGCGCATTTCCAACATCGAGAGTGATTAAATTTGGGTCAAAATTACTTCTTTCTTGGTCTCGTTTCTATTGCAAGTGCGTATACGCTTTTGATTGTCGCCCCAAACGCCTGATTATGTGCTCAGAGATCAAAGAGCTCCTTGAGGATACGCATGGTGTCCTCGGGTCCGGTAACGGAATGACCAATAGTTCTGGAGTCGGTGTAGATTTCGTAATCGTTGCCGCCCTCGAAGGTCTTGTCACCAAAGAAGTGGATGTTCTTGTAGGCAATGCCATCGGGCCTCTTAGCCTCGTTCTCGAGGTGCTTGAGGCAGTAGGTCTTGTCCCAGCCAATGGGGAACACATCGAAGGAAATCTGCCCGCCAATGGAGAAGCTATCAGATAGTAGTCAGTCATTAAAGGTACTTTTAGTGGACAGGGGTAATGTAACTTACGTGAGGCCGAGATGGCCAAATCGCTCCTTAAGGACAGCAACAAACTTCTCACGGACCTTGGCATCCTTGTCATACTTCTCAAAGTCGTTTCGTTCCTGTGTGCTGGCGTTACGGCCGACGGGGCTGATGTTGATCATGCCATTGCGGAACTCGATAAAAGTACCGCGCTTGACAGGAATGTCGAGATCAGCGATGTAGTGGAGAACGAAGTTGGCAAGTTCCTTGTACTGCTCCTCTCCGATGAACTTGATGAAGGAGTTTGAGTCGAGGGGCTCACCGAGCTTGAAAGCAGTGAGACCGTTCTCGGAGAAGCAGAAGTCGAAGAGGGCGGTGACAGGCTGGCCAGCGGGCTTGCCCAGCTGCTCCTGCTGCTTGGCGAAGTCGGAGCCGCCAACAAAACCGACAGCACACTTTGATCGGAGCTTCTGTAGGATGGAAAGAATCTCGGGGGAGGCGTCCTTGAAGAATTGTTAGCGGTTCGTAAGAATGTCAGGGGACGAGTAAGCTTCAGCGTACCAGACGCGCGGGGGTGAGAGTGCCATCAACGTCAAAGAGGCAGATGGTGTCCTTGAGAGGACGATCCTGAAGAGGCGAGTATGAAGGGGGCGCGAGAGACATTGTGAAGGTTGCGGTATAAGATGGTTGTTGAGAGAGGAAGAGGAAGAGGAACTGGGGCCACGATAATATAAAGTAGCTAGGAGAGTTGCTGGTGTTGAGGAGGGGACCAAGACCAACAGGAGGGGGTGGGGCAGGACCTCAAGATGCATGGCCGGTAACTTATAGATGCGGGGCACTCAGGTACAGCACGGGCAGTTACTAAGAACTTGAGAAAGGGTAGATAGTACCTTTCGGATTTTAACTTCATTACTTAGAATAACATCCATATCCGCCTGGCTGAATTGATAATATTTCTCTATGGAGAGACGAGTTACGCTCATCGACTCTAACTTGTTCAAGTTAATTCATAACAAACATGCCAATCTGTCATGTTCTGTTTCATTGCGACCACCTACCTACTACCTACCTATACTTGGACCACGTTTATACCGCTAAAGATTCTAGGGTACATCTGTCAACAAATGTCTTAGGACGATGAGGTCCTTGAGCGTGGATGGAAGGAAGCTTATAAAGGTCGTATCACAATGTCAGTTCGGATCATCACTACGGCAATCTCAACAAATGAGCAAGTGCAATTATCTTCACATATCATATTGAACACCAAATTTCAGACTTGGTATCTTAGTACCTATCACAAGATCAGATCTTCACAAGCGAAATCTACAGTGGCGCCTCACTTCAAAGGTTTACTAGTGGGCCCCTTGTCTAGGAACCGTCCGCCGAGTCTGACCGCCAAATCCAATGGATACCCTAGGTGGGTAACAGAAGAAATGTCCTCTAAGGTTTAGGCTACTAAAATAAAGTAGCCTAGATACTGATTTAGATCGGCATAAAATGACTAAACTATTTCGTCCCTCATGTTTATGACGGTCAATTCTTCTGACACCCTGCGGATACCTAAGTACCTACCTAGGTAGGGAGGTACAGTAGTTCACTGTATGGCGGGGTCAATCCAGGTGAGCTCGGTGAGTGGATATCACCTAGGATTAGGAATCTGGGTCATAGAGAACATCGAACTAAAGAGGGCGATGAGTCTCTCTTTGGCGTTAATTATTCAGAAGGCTTAAACTACTCGCTTTAGTATTCCTGCTATTTATATACGTGGCAGTTTTGCATAAGTGCAACTGAAAGCTGGAGTAGTGCCGTCATGTATTCTAGCTCAATTGTTCAAGCATCCAATCCAATCCAATACCCGTAGTCCCACAGTCGTCTTTATGCCATTTGACCCCAAACTCCAGTGACCTCGACAACAACGTTTACGACTGTGCTCACTGCCCACAGTATAATCAGTCCCCATCCAATCTTGCGACTCAGGATCCATTTGTTCCAAGGTACAACAATCAACAGCCCTATCAAAGTCACAAGCAAGGTTATGGCTGATATCAACAGCGTTCCATTGACTTGAATGCGATATGGCTTGTATTTGATGGGGCTAGAAGGGTTTTTGTGGTGCTTCTTGTTTGCTTTCTTGATCATCATCATGGCACCCCCAATACCAATGCCGAGCAGGATGTTCAACATTGGGCCGCCAAAACAAGCAGACCTAAGCATATTGTCAGTATTCTCCTCCAAAAATATACAGCGATACTCACAAAGCCATGACGGGGTAGCCCAGTCGAGCCACCGTAATATCGGCAATCAAGTCTCCCACGCTATTGCCGGCAGCGAAAATCGTGAGACCTAACAGCGCTTCCGAAATATTCAGAATAACGCCAACAGTTTTGAGAACCCCAACAACTTCGCCTGCGATGGTCGAGATCCAAGCAATACTAATGAAGAATCCCATGAAACACAGCATATAATGATATCGTGGGGCCCGGTCTTGCGACGTGAAGACAATCAAAATCCCGAGGAGAATCAATGATCCAAGGAGAGTATAGAGAAACATCCGAATCAGAGTCTTACGGGGATTCTCCCAATCTTCCAGAGTGTTGGCCCAGAGAATCAAAACGGCAAATTGAGGACCGGTAAAGAGCTGCAGTGCCACGAGCCATCGGTTCCAGCCTGTGCAGTCATTCTTGGCACTACTCGAAGAAAGGAAATCTGAAGCAGGCTTGGTGACGATCGCTGGCGGCCCCAGCGACAGTTGGGGGGCGCCGTGATGTTCCTCTCCCGGTGCATGTGCTGACGAGGGCGGCGCACCAGACCCTGTATGACTGTTTCCACGGCTCACAAGAGTGTGTCTGCGATAGCGTTGCCATTCGGTCTCCCCTTCCGGCTCGATCGACGAATGCTCGACTGATATCGGTGGAGCCAGATGCCCAGGGCTGTGATGATCATAGGGGTCGACAATCGTTTCGAGGATGGACGATTCGCCATCTGTTGTCTCCGAATCTACCACAGGCAGAGTGACTACTAGGAGGAAAATGCTCGGAACAGATATGGCACTAACAAACTTGTCCCACGCTGTTTTCTCCTTCCAACCTTGCAATGTAGGAAACAAGGTTGCTAAAAGAATGTGAGGAGGTGGCAACACAGCATATGGCCACCACCTGACGGGACGCGATGGCACATCGATTGTGAATTGCAAGTCAGCAAATGGCGTCTCACGACTGGTTGAGCCCAGCGGTACGGTACTGGGCGACACTCCTCCTGGTGACACAAACTCGATTGGGTCATTGTGATAGTTGGGTGTGAGCAGGGCCGGCGAGTCAGTATACATCGGGAAAGGTGTGCTTGGCGAAGATCGGTCGCTACAAGAGCTGCGGCGACTAGGAATTTGCAGGTGAAGTTCAGGAGTCAGCATATGCCGTCTCGTGTCCTCAGTGGGAGCATCGTAGGTAGTTCCACTAGGACCGACAAGAGGCGCGGCCAGGTTCCCCCCGACAGTGTGTGAGGGGTTCGGGCTTGACGCTCTTGTTCCACTGGCTGGAGAACCTGGAATAGATAGATTCCTTTCACTTCTGTCGTGACCGGGGATACTCCAATCCGGGTGAGCGGCCGTTCCCACGGGCTGATCTCCTGAAGATAGGGCTCTGTTCCTTCTGGACGAGTGTCCGTCATGGCTTGAAGCCAGCTGATCGTCTGAGCGAGCCGAACCCAGAATTGTTGTCGTGGTTTGGCGTCGCCTATGGACGTGGTGATCCGAGTAACTTCTGCCCGGGATGGTCGACAATTGTAAGTTACCTTCGCGTTGCAGCTGTGCCAGAGCCGATCGGAATTCAAGTGCGCCAACAAGACTGGGTCGAATAGGGGTCATGGTATTTCTCCTAGTTCCACGGCCTCGCAATACTCGCATACTGCTGGCAACCTCGGCCGCAACCATGCGATCATGATCTTCACTTGATGTGTCGCTGTCCTCTGCCTGCAGTGTGCCCTCCACCTCGATCCTGGGTCCTGCTTCAAGAAGTGAGATATCAGGAGGAGTAGAATAAGCAGTCCTACTGGCCGAGCCAGCGTCATCTACATCATCTCGGTATGGCTCACCAGCCAACTCGTCTCCGGATTGAACCAAAGCTGTATAGACATGGCTGCGCGCCTCTCCTTCTCGACGTTGCCTGGCTTTGTGCCTCATTGAGTACCAATGCCACGTTACAACAGTAACAACATACAATGCATAGTAGCCGATCATAGCCCAGCATTCCCAGAGGTGCAAATGACCATCAGCTAGGAAGATCATGGTGAAAATGACGGCGAAAATGAAGAAGCAAATATCACGAGTGTATGTTTTTCGATCAACACGAAACTCTCTCACAAGAGCCATGGAGCCAGCAACGACACCAGTAATAAAGCTTGCAGCTCCTATCAGCTCACCAACGGCCATGCTGGCACTGTTAGAGCCCATGGCAGCGAAAGTGCTGAATACATCGGGTGATCCATTGCCGAATGCTAGGAATGTGACGCCTGCTAAGCTCTCACTGAGACCAAGAACTGTCGCGATCGTACCCAAGTTGACGCTGAAGAAGTCACTTGCAGCGATTCCAATAGTCGTGAAGAGGAGGCCAAGCCACACGACAAGGATGCTGAACGCGATAGGGCGTACACTGCCAAAAGTGCAATAGTAGAGCTCGGTATAAGGTACAAGCCCGGCGTCGTCGTCGGTACAGTACTTGCGTACAAAAGCGCATTTATCTTGAGCGTCGTGGACTTGGCTGCATTGGGGGGGTTCGGTGGAGGAGCTTCGTTTGAAAAGTTGATGAGAATCGATCGCGTGCTTGGAGACAGACTGCGCGAAGGTCGTATGCGACAAAAAGGAATATGCGGTCAAGACAGATAGAAGGAAGAGCGTGGTGTAGAAAGGGCGAGACTTGAGTCGACTACCGCGAATGAATCGTTTAGAAGCTGTATCGCGACGTTCAATGATGTCGTGGTTGGGGCGGACAAGCCCGCGAGGGGTGATATTTATCATTCTGCTGTTGGTATCTTCATGTCATGAAGCGGTTGCTGTGCATGCCATTGTCGTCGCTTGGATGCAAGAAGCGATGAGTAATACAATACGGATATATGAGGATATGTTATGATAAATGGGTTCGGTGGGGGGGATGAGAAAAGCGAGGGGAGATTTAATAAACTTGGAGCTGGTTTTGGTGCTAGATAAGAGAAACCTCGGTTTGTCGTTGCGGGTGACGTGACGTTACCTACATATGTATATTCATCCCAAGCCATGCCCATAGTCATGCCCACGTCCACGTCCACGTCCACGGCGCCGGGTCGGATTCCTTCGCGATTACCCGAGGTAGATCGAGAATCTAGGCAGATACCATATCCGGGTCTCTCTGAAGTGAACCAGAATCTGGTTTCAAGACTTTTTAGCGTCTATTTTTGTCGCAAGCTCTAGGTGATGGTGAGGAAGAGAACTTAAGGCGAAGGGAGGCCGCCTGCTGTCCAATACAGATCGGTACAGTACTTGCCACACTCTATGTGTGAGTGTGGCTCGCATCAAGAGATGGGCATGAGCATACAAAACGCATCTGATCCAGCTCAGTGTTGGCAGTGACACTCTAGACTGACCTAAGTGCTAAGCTTGTTTCCTTCCCCGTTGTCCGTTAATCACCTGCTACTCTCGTGCAGGGACCGATGGCCTATCCTGAGCCGTATAAGCTGCCTAGCTGTGCAACGTTCTGTTTCTAGCTTGTTTCTCGTTTCCAACGTGCCTGCCTTAGATGCCGCCACGAGGGGTTTCGTACTTACATACTGCATAAACAGGGGTGATTAGCTCTTAATGCCTTGGCAGCTTCCGTGTTTTCATCTGCTATCCTCCGTTTAAGACGGAAGGCACTTTCCGCTTATTAACGTCAAGACCACCACCAGAATGTTGTTAGAGATAGGTAGGCTAGTAAGTAAGTCTCCGTATTTAGCCTAGTTCGGTATTTGCAGGTTGCTGCCATTATTACCCAAGCCACAGGAGATTGAAGCCTCAGGTGTCAAAACATGGCTGGAACTCTAGGTACCCCACAACCTAAGTGCCCGCTTGTACCGTCAGTCCGTACCGGCCTAACAATTCGCATTTATTTTGTTTACTTTGGCAAGGGGGGTCCCGCAACACGACGACGACGACGACGCGACAGGCCTCGTCCAACTCCGCCCTCTTTAACTTAACAGCCCACACAAACCATATCCAAAATGCCTCGCGTTGCTCAGGTTCCCCGATCGGGGAGTGTTAGGGCAAACACAGGCTCCGGTACAGCATCTTCATACATTACGCACTCACCGATTAAGTGAGTACCAGCAAGCCGAACGACCGGTTACCAACATGAAGTGCTAATGCAGCTACCCAGAATCCCACTCAACGACGATGTGTCAGAAAAAGGTCAACGTATGAGCTCTAGGAGGGCTCTTCACGAGAGACAATTCAACGAAATCAAGAAAGCCGCAACCCCTCGTAAGGGCAGCGTCCGCCTCGAAGACATGGAAAACGACCCGCAAACTCCCCGCGCTGGCCGCGCCAGCAACATCGAAGATGACGAAGGATTTGTGGTTGGCGGCTCTGCAGTCACGCCTATGAAGCGAGTCCCTCTTCTAGCCAACTTCGAGGAATGGATGAAGATGGCCACCGATAATAAGATCAATGCAACCAACTCATGGAACTTCGCCCTGATCGACTATTTTCACGACATGTCACTCCTCAAGGAGGGCGACGGTGTCAATTTTCAGAAGGCTAGCTGTACCCTAGATGGGTGCGTCAAGATCTATACCAACCGAGTCGACAGTGTCGCAACCGAGACAGGCAAGCTTCTGAGTGGACTTGCCGATAGCAACAATGCCAAGAAGAAGGACAAGGACGGTGAAGATGCCGACGAGAGCGACGAAGAAGAGTTAGATGAGGATGGAAATGTTAAGAAGAAACCCAAAAAGAAGGTATGTACTGTAACATTCTTCAAAAAGTTCAAGCTAATGTTTTCAAGACCCAGCGTTCGTCAGAAGCGACGCTTGCACCTTCGTTCAATTCACTTCAATTGAAAAAGTTCGAGTTAGAATTCGCTGTTGACCCTCTGTTCAAGAAAGCTTCTGCCGATTTCGATGAGGGTGGCGCCAAGGGACTCCTTCTGAACCACCTTATGATTGATTCACAAGGACGTATTGTATTCGACAGCAGCGACGACACTGGTGACGCCACCACTCTTGGGAAGAAAAAGACTGATGAAGAGGGCGAAGAAGAAGAGGACGATGTCGAGGAAGAGGACGCAGAAGACGACCAGCTGGAAGAAGAGGAGGAAGCTGATGATGTTGAAATTGACCTGGGTGCTCTTGGTGCCAAGTTCATTCCCGACTTGTATCGACTTGATGAGCTCGACGTCTGCCCATCTCTGAAAATGTTTGACCTCGGTGACCCTTCCGGTTCCATGGATATTCCTTTCTTGAAGGCGCCCGAGGACTGGAGGCAAGACCAAGACAAGGAGAAGACACCGGGGGCATTGGGTGATATTTCTGGTCTTGTTATCGATGGCGATGCACCGGCAGGATTCGATGATGACGACCTTGGCCTCGGAACTTTTGATGCTGTCGAAGACGTTGCTTTTGGTGAAGGTGGCGAGGCTTGGGCCCGAGAAGCCGCTCTTGAGCCACAGATGCGAGTATACGATGCTGGCTTTGGCGAGGAGGGTGGTGATGGAGACGAAATTGATGGCAACGGGGAGTACGTTGTTTCCATGAGCAGCGCTCAACAAGCAGATAAAATGCACGAAGATATTCTCGGCTTTTTCGACCAGGCCTTGCAGAAGAATTGGACAAGCGCAGAGCACTGGAGAATCAGAAAAATCAAGGATGTCAACAAGCCTACAACGGAAACAAAAAAACGCAAAGAAAAAGAGCCATTCGAAATCGACTTCAACGCTCCTCTTGATTCGCACACATCAGATCTCATCTACACGCAGGCTACAAACAACACGGCCATCAGCATGCCCAAAAAGGATTGGAAGTCAAAGTCACGCAATCTTCTCCCCGATGACAAGCATTTCAACTCCAAATCTTTGCTGAACCTTTTCCTCAAGCCAAAGGCACGAATGAGCAAACGACGCACAGGATTCAACTCTAGGGCAGGAGGTGGCTTCGGCAATATTGGTACAGATAACCAACCTGAGGGAGAAATGGACGAAGCGTTCTGGGCAAAGCAGAAGGCGCCGCAGAACACTGATGAGACTGCACTGCCTGAGGGTGACTACGATGCCAACTTCTTCCAAGACGATGGCATGCCCTTCCCTGGTGGCGGCGACTTGGATGACGATGACGACCTGGAGTTTGCTGATGCACGGGAGCATTTCTCCCCGGGTGTCGACGGCCAAGGCGGGCTGACAGAAGGCGGTGGTCTTACAGATCTTCTCAATGGCGAGACAGTCACGAATACTGGAGCCTTCGGAACGACTTTGGTTACCCAGACCAGGCGTGTACGACCGGAGTATGTGCAGTACGCCAGAGTGGCCAAGAAGGTAGATGTACGAAGACTTAAGGAAGAACTGTGGAAGGGCATGGACAATGATATTCTCGGGGTAAGTGACATATAAGTTCGATGCCACTGATAAACAAAAGGCTAACACGCGATTCCAGAAACAACCCGAAGCTGCAGCATCGCCTGACAACCTCAAACAGGAAGATGAACCGCTTAAATTCACAGAAGTCATGAACAACTTGCAAACTGTGTATCCCAAGCCGGTTATGGATGATATTTCAACATCATTCTGTTTCATTTGTCTTCTTCATCTAGCCAACGAGAAAGGCCTCGTGATTGAAAACACGCCTGGCTTGTCGGAGCTGGAGATCCGTAGGGATTGGACAGCAGAGATTACCGAGGGCGAATAGCAAGAGTGAATTGACATACTCGCTCGTGTCTGTACATTAGAGTGCAGTGTCGTTGCTTCCTTTGACGAGTCATGAGACATCTGCAGACCTCATTCGGAAGAGAAATCTAGGGAAGGCATGAAAAATGACCTGATGATATCCTGGCGTTGGGAAGGAAGTTGAGATAAGCAAACATTTAGAGTAATTGTTTATATGAAAGATACGATGCAATGAACAATTGGTTATATTTCGAAGTTACTCATCTGTGTACACCGTTCAGACTCTAGTAAAATGCTGATTGGCATTTTTCTTCTTCTTTCGCCTATCTAATCTATACGTAGTCATCGTTGGTGAGATGGGGGAAAACAAGTTTAGATCTGCAGATCTGGCCCTGTGGCTTGCTTTGGTTAATGTTCGTTGGTAGCTTAGTTGGTGTCAAGTTTTCGAGCTGCGACAGCAATGGCTTTGAGATACCTAGGTAGGACTGATACTTCAACGTACCTCGATCGTCTTTCAATGTGAAAATTGGTATCGGATGCTATCGGCAATGGATCACTAATACACTGTCAAAGTTTTTCGTCGCGATGTTGCAAGCATGCATCGTCACTTGCTTCTTGTACCTAGGTAAGGTAGGTAGGTACCTAGTAGGTA